AAACCAGCAGATGAAGTTTTGTTATCTCTGTCACTCTGCCTTTCAAATAAATGAAATAAATCTTAAAAAAAAAAAAAAAAAGTTGGTAAGTCTCTGGTCCACAGGACAACCAACTCCCCTCCTGACATTGTGCGTCCTTTACAGTGAGTGCACAGCTCGCCTTTCGAGGGCTTCTCATCCACTACTCCCAGAACCCTCTGCGGTAGAACCAGTGTTCTCCGACATTGGCACCTATCAGAACCAGCTGGAGGGCTTGCTAAAGCACAGACCGCTGGCCTCATCGCCAGCATTTCTAACTTGGGAGGTCTTGGGTGAAGCCTGTGAAATCGCCATGCTGATGCACCGGTCGGTCTGTGGACCACCTATTGCGAACCCCTGCTCTACACTACTCCTTGTTGCGAGTTCACTCTGAATTTGTTTTCCGTTCTTCCACGTTTTCAGAGAGCCCTCCCTCTTCCTTTTTGTCCACCACCTATAAATTGCTCCCTAATTCAGTTTTAAATGTCTCCAAATTCCAGCAGCACACAACTTCTATGCCATTCCCCATTGCAATCACTGTTTGATACTGTTTAAATGTGTGTGTATAGATGCCAGCGAGGTTGTGTACTCTCAGATCAATGTCCAGATTGGAAGCTTTTACATGAAGGGGCAGGCAATCTCTCTTAACCCACACTGTCCCCTCAAGCTACCACAGACCCTGGAATACAGCTGCTACTCACACACACTCAACTGAATGGACACTTAATGGATCTCTAACATGAAACTTCATACACGTGGGCTTGAAATTTGTGTAGTTTTCATGGAGAACTTCGAGTCTGAGCTAATGGCTTTGTCAGGCTGGGTAACTAATGTCAAAAAATAAATAAAAATAAAAAATAAATACAGAAAAAAAGTAGAATGACACTACGTAACTGCCATGATATTCACAAACACAGATGGGGCAGGCATTGAGTTTAGTGGTTAAGATGCAGGTTACAGGCCGGCGCTGCGGCTCACTAGGCTAATCCTCCGCCTAGCGGCGCCGGCACACCGGGTTCTAGTCCCAGTCGGGGCGCTGGATTCTTTCCCGGTTGCCCCTCTTCCAGGCCAGCCCTCTGCTGTGGCTAGGGAGTGCAGTGGAGGATGGCCCAGGTGCTTGGGCCCTGCACCCCATGGGAGACCAGGAAAAGCACCTGGCTCCTGGCTCTTGCCATCGGATCAGCGCGGTGCGCCGGCCGCAGCGCGCCGACCGCGGCGGCCATTGGAGGGTGAACCAACGGCAAAGGAAGACCTTTCTCTCTGTCTCTCTCTCTCACTGTCCACTCTGCCTGTCAAAAAAAAAAAAAAAAAAAAAGATGCAGGTACAATGACCACATCATCCCCTATCACAGTACCTGGGTTTGACTCTCAGCTCTGATTCCTAATTCCAGATTCCTGCCGGTGTAGACCCTGGGAGACAGCAGTGATGGCTCAAGTAATTGGGTCCCACCAGCCTTGCCCAGCCATTGCAGGCATTTGGGAAGAAAACTGGCAGGTGGGAGGGAAGGAACATTGATCAGCCCCTTTCAGATGTAGTTTGGATAATAATGCTTACATATTCATTCAGAGTTCCACTGGCTGTGTGAAAACAAGACAAAAGCTGTTTACCTAGTGTCTTCCACCTACGGAGTAGAATCTGCTATCAGGTGATTTCAAGGATGATTTATGAGGTGAGAGTCTCAAAGACAAACCAGAGTAAAGCCACGGATAACTTGACAAAGTAAACTCAGTTTTGGAACCATTAGAGAACAAAATCAGATAGACTACCTGTTTTGATATATAAGAGCACTAAATTAATGCTGAACAAATCTACACTTGATAGTACTACAGTCAAGCGAAAGACAACAATTTGTATTATTTGACAAAAGACAAGAGAATTAAGTTCAGAAACGAAACAACACAGACACTACCACCCACGAGCATACGAGGTACAGTGACAGCTTTACACAAGTACAGGTGTTGCCTTCCACCCGGACACCTGTCCTGCTTACCAGGACCATGATGATTTCACCTGCATGAGGATTCGGCCAAGGCAATCCACATTTCTATCTTGAGCAGGAACTATGAAAACTGGGTAGAAAAAGAATTGTAAAACCAAGTCAACAAAACACTAAATGGCTTATTCCAAGTTCTAAACGTATTAGCATTCTCAACACACAAAGCAAAACTGAACCCCTTAAAGCTTCACAAACTAGGCCGGCGCCGCGGCTCACTAGGCTAATCCTCCGCCTTGTGGCGCCGGCACCCCGGGGTTCTAGTCCCGGTCAGGGCACCGGATTCTGTCCCGGTTGCCCCTCTTCCAGGCCAGCTCTTTGCTGTGGCCAGGGAGTGCAGTGGAGGATGGCCCAAGTGCTTGGGCCCTGCACCCCATGGGAGACCAGGAGAAGCACCTGGCTCCTGCCTTAGGATCAGTGCGGTGTGCCGGCCACAGCGTGCCTGCCACAGCGGCCATTGGAGGGTGAACCAAAGGCAAAGGAAGACCTTTCTTTTTTTTTTTTTTTTTTTTTTTTTTTTTTGACAGGCAGAGTGGACAGTGAGAGAGAGAGACAGAGAGAAAGGTCTTCCTTTTGCCGTTGGTTCACTCTCCAATGGCCGCCACGGCCAGCGCGCTGCGGCCGGTGCACCACGCTGATCCGATGGCAGGAGCCAGGTACTTCTTCTGGTCTCCCATGTGGGTGCAGGGCCCAAGGAATTGGGCCATCCTCCACTGCACTCCTGGGCCACAGCAGAGCGCTGGCCTGGAAGAGGGGCAACCGGGACAGAATCCGGCGCCCCGACCGGGACTAGAACCCGGTGTACCGGCGCTGCAAGGCAGAGGATTAGCCTAGTGAGCTGCGGCGCCGGCTGGAAGACCTTTCTCTCTGTCTCTCTCACTGTCCACTCTGCCTGGAAAATAAATAAATAAATAAAGCTTCACAAACTACCTACCATCAGGAGGGAAATGCTACCAGATGAATTGCTAAGTAGCAACTTGTACTCCACTATGTCTTGCTTCTCACCAAGAGATGACAGAATAATAACATCCAGTTCTATGGTTGAGAATGTGGAGTTTCAGCTAGCTGTGGATTCTAAAATTACCTCTACTAGAGTAGGAATTCTTAGCATTCATCTTAGCCATATTCATGTCACAACAGTTTCATTTGTAAAATCAGTCTATAAAAACAACCTTGTTACAATTCTTCTTTTTTTAGAGTTGCATTTGTCACAGACAGACAGAGTGGACAGTGAGAGAGACAGAGAGAAAGGTCTTCCTTTGCCGTTGGTTCACCCTCCAATGGCCGCTGCAGCCGGCGCACCGCGCTGATCCAAAGGCAGGAGCAAGGTTCTTCTCCTGGTCTCCCATGGGGTGCAAGGCCCAAGCACTTGGGCCATCCTCCACTGCACTCCCTGGCCACAGCAGAGGGCTGGCCTGGAAGAGGGGCAACCGGGAAAGAATCCGGCGCCCCGACCGGGACTAGAACCCGGTGTGCCAGCGCCGCAAGGCGGAGGATTAGCCTAGTGAGCCGCGGCGTTGGCCCAATTCTTCATCTTTTTAAACCAATCAATAGGCCTCTGTTCAAATTATCAAAGTCCTGGAATGCTTTCCATATTATAAAGCCACCAAGTTTTAGAAAGGATAGCAAATACACAGCCTGTGCCAGAAAGATGTCCTACTCTTTTTCCTGCAAGTTATAAGGTTCATTTCCAGAACTTTAGACATTCATCCTAGCTTTACTCCATATTGGAGGCAACCCCTTCAATGCCAGGTGATGCCACCCACGGCCACACAGGAGCGAGACACACACAGCGGCAAACGTGCGAGAGATACACTATAAGCCACCAACATGCTCGCAGATGATACCAACATGTTTGAAGGGAGCTTTCGGGGCTCATTACCAAATCAGCACGCTCCCTCTGATCACGATTCAGGAGCAGCTATCACGTAAGTGAAGAAGGGTGTGTGTGCAGGGGGCAGGGGAATTAGAGGCCAGAGCCCCCTCAGGACGGGGTGTAGGGACTCCCTTCGCCCCAGGGAGATGGCACAGGGTGGCTCCACAACGACCCTGTACAGTAATTTTAATTGAATTTGAAATGAGAGAAGACAGCGCAGCCTAAGTCTCCCATCCACTGACTTGGTACCAGAACACCACATCTTCCTTAATGACTGATTTTTACTGAATGAAGGCATAATCACAGAACTCCTCCTCCGGAAAAAAAAAAAAAAAGAGAGAGAGAGAGAGAGAGAGCGCGATGCTTTTGAGCACGCCGCTTTTCCAGAGTGTATTCAGCCAGCGCTTTCAACTTCATCTGACTTGGAGTGCAGACGCTCGCAGGAGCTATCAGCTGCGCGGGCCGCCCCGGCCTGGGACCCTGCCCCCGGCCCCAGCCCTGGCGTCTGGGCGCCCGAACGCGCGGCCCTTCTGAGCCGGCAGCCTCGCTCCCAACCACTGCCCCAGCACAGGTCCTTAACTGCCTCTCAGGACACGCCTGGCCCGGCACGGCCGCTGGACGCGCGCCCTCCCTCCCACGGCCACCTCGAATCAGAAGCCAGCAACGGGAGAAGGAGCGCGCCGAGAGAGGCGAGGTCAGGCGGCCGCGGCCACGCTGGCTGCGGGGTGTTGGAAGGCAGGGGACAGGCCCGCGGGCAAGCTGAGAAACGCTGCACACCCGGCAGCCACGGCTCCGACCGTCCGAGCCGGCCGGGCCCGCAGGACGCCACGCCGCCGCTCAGGGCCGGGCCACTGCCGCCTCCCCGCCTGCCCTGCCCAGCCCCGGCCCCGGCCCTGACCCTGACCCAGGCCCCGGCCCCGGCCCTGGCCCCACAGACGCCGCTCCCCGCCGCGGCTCGCACACTCACCGGGAGCGCGCGCCGGCCGGGCGCGATCTCCGCCCCGCCCGGCCCCCGCACGACAGCGCCGCAGCCACGTCACGGCGCGTGCGCTCTCCGCGCGCTCGCAACGGCCCCGGGAGACGCTGCCCACTCGGCGTGCTGGTTTCCTTAGCGACGGAGCGGGCCGGGGCCGAGGCGTCGGGAGGACGGCGGCAGCGCGGACCGCGGGAAAGCCACGATGTCGTCGAAGGGAAAGGACAGGAAAAAAAGCAAAAGCAGAGTCAGAAGCAAGAAGGGGAAGTAAGGAGCAGCGCCGTGGGGCTTCCTCTGCCTGAGTCTGGGCGCCGGCGTCCGCCTTCCTCCCGCTGGCCCTCCTGGACTCCCGCCCCTGAGAAGCTCGATTCCTGTTCATTCTGTTTATTTGAGAGGCACAGTTACAGAGACCTAGACCTAGACCTAGACCTAGACCCACACCCACACCCACACCCACACCCACACCCTTGCGTCTGCTGGTTCACCCCCCAAATGGCCACACCGGCTGGAGCTGGGCTGATCAGGAACCGAAAGCTAATTTCGGGTCTCCCACGTGGGTGCAGGGGCCCAAGCACTTGGGTCATCTTCTACTGCTTCCCCAGGCCGTTCGCAGGAAGCTGGATGGGAAGAGGTGCAGCCGGGACTCGAACCTGCACCCATTAGGAAGTTAACCTACTAAGCCACAGCGCCAGCCCCAACCTGGGCATTCTCGCCCACAGTCTGAGACCTGTCTGTGTGTGTGTATAAGTGAGACAATTGATAAGTATCTAGAGCCTTGCCGGGTGGTTGAAGTCGCTCCTCGGGCCTTTCCGGCGGCCCCTATAGATGCAGAGGGGGAACCCGAAGAATCTGACCAGACTGCCAGAGGCGTTGCAGTGGGTCGTGCCCCAGCACTGGCGTTTGCAAGGGTGGGACTGCTGCTAGTTTGCCCTCAGATCTCTCGTGCTGTCCTCTGCTGGCTTCCGTGGAGTTAGACATGGTGTTCAGCAGCGCCATAAATGGGACCGCAACGGAGTCTCTGACACGTGTGTTGTTTATAAAGTCGCTTAAAGTTCACAGTCAGTACAGAAAGTCTGAAAGTATCAGGAAAACAGCACCTGCAATCCCATTACCCAAAGATAAACACTACTGTCATTTTGGAGTATTTGTTTTTCTTTGTAAAGTGATCACCCAGTAGGCATACTTATTTGTAGCTTTTTCATCTCATGTATTAATATAATTTTTTTTTTAATATTTTTATTTGAAAGGTCAAAAGACAGTCTAAGATCTCCCATCAGCTGTCTCACTCCCAAATGCTGGCAACAGCCCAGCCAAAGCCAGGAGTCAGGAACTCAGTCTCCCACATGGGAGACGGGGACCCAAGTACTTGAGCTGTCATCTCCTAGCTCCCAGGGTCCACTTTAACAGGAAGCTGGGTCAAAAGCAGAGAAGCCAGGACATTTGGAGCTTGGCTGATCCGAAGCCAGGAGCTTCTTCCAGGTCTCCCTCATGGGTGGCAGTACCCCAAGCACTTGGGCATGTTGCACTGCTTTTCCTTGGCCATTAGCAGGGAGCTGAATCAGAAGTGGAGCAGCCAAGACTCCAGCCAGCACCCATATGGGATGCCAGTGCTGTGGTAGCAGCTTTACCCGCTACAGTACCAGCCCTGTGATTTTTTTTTTAATGTAATTGCAGTTAGTCTAGCCAAGGCCAAGGCCTTATCACATTCCTGGAATGCACTAGCCTATGTTTCTGTCTTTGGCCATGCCATCTGCAATGAGGAACACCAAGGACAACCACTCTTTTATTCCTTGGATTTTCTGTGGCGCATTGTTTGAGAAACGCAGCTTGTATCAGAGGTGTCTGCTTCCTTGCCTGGAGTGTTCTGAGCAGGTGAGGCCTGACTCCTTCAGGGAGCGATTGGACGATTATAGCGAGGCAGTCTCTGGAGCCTAGTCGTGCTGGAAGAGGAGCTGTGGACTAGGTGGTTGGGGAATGGGGTTGGCCTTCATTTGAAGGGAACCAGAGTTGAAAGTAGGGGTGGAGAGGTGCTAAGAGGTGGGAATGGGCAAGTGGAAATGTAGAGTGACAGTATGTACATGGCCACACATACGTGTGTGTGAATATTTAGAATTCAAACACTATGAAGTCGTCTTTTTTTTTTTTTTTAAGATTATTTATTTATTTGGCCGGCACCGCGGCTCACTAGGCTAATCCTCCGCCTGCGGTGCCGGCACCCCAGGTTCTAGTCCCGGTCAGGGCACCGGATTCTGTCCCGGTTGTTCCTCTTCCAGTCCAGCTCTCTGCTGTGGCCGGGAGTGCAGTGGAGGATGGCCCAAGTGCTTGGGCCCTGCACCCACCTGGGAAACCAGGAGGAAGCACCTGGCTCCTGGCTTCAGATCGGTGCAGTGCGCTGGCCGGCCGTAGCAGCCATCTGGGGGGTGAACGAACGGAAGGAAGACTTTTCTCTCTGTCTCTCTCACTGTCTAACTCTACTGTCAAAAAACATTTATTTATTTATTTATTTATTTGAAAGGCAGAGTTACAGGGAGGTGGAGGCAGAGAGAGAGAGATAGAGGTCTTCCATCCACTGGTTCACAGAGCTTGCCCCAGTTATATATATTACCTGTTTATATACGTATCTGGTGCCTGTCATATATAAGGGATGGTGTTTTGTTAATCCTCTTACAATATTAGTTTGAAAAATCTCTCCTTTTATCACTTTAATCGTTAGGTTCCTGCCTTTTTGAAAGTTTCCTCTCCATCCCTTTATAAAGAATTATGTTTTGTTTCTTAGGCATCATTAAAGTCCACTGCACTGTGGCACCAGCTGATGTTTAACACACACTTGCACTCTGACTCCAATTTGGTCCAAGGTCTAGCCAGAAACAAAACAAAATAAACCTGGGAGATGGAGAGAGCGGGGGATTACAGGTACATCACAAACATACCCTCATGTCACAGGGTAACAAGAGAATCAGTGGACTTGCTGCAGAGAGAACCAAGGTAAGAGCCCTGGTAGGAATAGAAAGAACGGTTCAAAGATGGGAGAATCAGAGATGGGAAGATTGAACATTGCGTGAAACACATTGGATTTATCATGCCTTTCCTCATTGTTTCTCCAGGCATTTAGAGTTATGCTCCAAAGTTCCCCTCTTCTAGGAAGAAATACCTACCAACTATTTTGGGAATGCAAGTAAATGTATGTTTCTCATTAACTCATGTATCCAACAATATTTGCTCATGTGTGCCAGGCAGTGCCCAGCAAAGCAATTTTGAAAAAGAGCAAGAGATAGAATACTCATGAGTTACAGCGGAGAAGGAGTCACAGGCCGTATGTGTTCTCTGTCATGCAGGAAGTCGGTGAAAACAGATGAATCTGTGGTGGAGAGAGCCAAAGCCAATGCTTCTCTCTGGGAGGCCAGGTTGGAAGTCACCGAGCTCTCCAGGATTGAGTACCGTGATACTTCCCGGAGACTGGCGAAAAGTAATGAGGAGTTGAAGAAACAGCAGTATATAATGGAGAAAGACACAATCTCTGTCTTAAGCTACCTGAAGAAGCAGGACCAGGAGAAAGACAATATGGTAGGTAGATAGAATGCCTCCGATACCGCACTCCTGTCTCTGGTTGCACTTGTGTGAAGACGTATACCTCTTAATAACGCCATGTAGCTGCCATATTGTAATTCCCATTTTACGGCTGAAGAAATTGACTCAGAAAGGACTGAGAACTGACCCCAGGTCACGCAGCTAGTCGATGTTAAAAGGGGGAACTCGGGTATAGTGACACATTCTTCTTGTACCCACCTGCCCGGTAAGCCCCTGGGAAACCCAAGGAAGTTTCCACCATGCTGAGGATGGTGTGCTTCCTTTCCAAGTACGTTTTTGCACCTCTACTCTTGATGTTCACTTCCATAAATAATGCATACTGTAGTCATGGTTTAAAATGCACGTAAGTACTATCATACTGCAAATATCTTTTGCAACTTTTCACTTAACATTATTCTGTGACAATTTACAAAATCATGTGATGATTCAGTTTTCTTAAAATTTATAACACATTCCATTTTTCAAAAAGATTTATTTGAAAGGCAGAAGAGAGAGAGAGAGAGAGAGAGAGAGAGAGAGAATCTTCCATCTGCTGGTTCACTCCCCAAATGGCTACAACAGTACAACAGCCAGAGCAGGGCCAGGCCAGACTCGGGAAGGGTCCAGACACGTGGGCCATCACCTGTTCCCTTGCTGGGTGCACTAGCAGGAAGCAGCACTGGATTGTGGGCTGCCAGCATTCCAAGGAGCAGCTTAAACCACTGCACCGCAACGCCAGCCCCGGCAGGTGGCTCTAAAAATTCATTCCTAATTGCCTTATAATAATTCCTTTAAATAAGTAAACCAAAATTCACTTCTCCTTACCCTTCTGTTGGTCATTTAGATTCCCTTTCATTGTTACAGACATCAGCTGAAGGCTCTGGTGTATGTCTGCCTGTGCCCACGTGTGAGAGTTTCTCCAGAGAGGCCTTGTGGAAGTGAGGTTACCACATTATGGGAGTGTGCCACTGAAACTTCGCAAAGGTTTAAGTTGGGCCCTACAGAGCTTTTAGCAGTGAATATCATTGCAGGCAATGTATTAGAATAGTTCTTGTTTACCTGCGTTTTGGTCAGCACTTGACCTACACTTAGTATCTTTTGCCAGTCTTACGTGTTTATAAATGATCTCACTGTTGCTTCATTTATTTTCCTGGTTTCTAGTCACTTGAACATCTTTTCTGTGGTCTTCACACGTTTTGCTTCTGCACACATGCTTGCATGAACTAATACTGGAGTGATGGGGGAGCTTGGCTCCTACTTAAGGGTGATGTGCAAGTTTAGGAGTCACTCCATGTGGTTTTCTTTTTGAGTTATTTATTTGAAAAGCAGAGTTACAGAGAAGCAGAGGCAGAGCGAGCGAGAGTCTTCCATCCACTGGTTCGATGGATGCTAAAACTATTGGTGAAAATATGATGAGGAGAAGGATATTTGTATAACTTAAAAATATCTTCCCACAAATTACTTAATAATAACAGGAGGAAAAATAGTTACTTTTAAGGGGAGAAATCTGGCAGGCGCAATCTTAACCAATTAATTAAAAATAATATCATGATGTTGTATACTAAAAAGAATACATCACCACTTAGACAGAATTTGCTTGCCATGAGAAAACACCAGACAAGTTCCATCTTGAACAGTATTTAAAAAAAATTGACATAAAAGGAGATGGGAATTCTAGATTAAAGGAGAGCAAGATACATGACAACTAAATCCAATTCATGATCCTAGAGAAGGAAAAAAGTTACAATAAAGGACGTTATTGGAACAACTGTCCGCTAAACTTGATTATGGAGTATAGACTAAGAAATAGTATCATATCAGTGTTAAATTTCCTAAATGATAACTATACTGTGCATATAAAACATAATGTCCTTTTTTATTAGGAAATGCATATTTGGGGTAGGGGTATGATGTCAACTTAAACTCATATGGTTCAGAAAAACATATATATATAGAGAGAAAGCAAATGTGCTAAAATTAAGAGGGAAAGAGAAAGAAAATGTGTCAAAATTTATGTGTTTGGATTCTGTACTCTGCTTGAGACTTAAAAAAAAAAGTTACATAAGAGAAATGTAGATCTAAGTGACAATGAGGTGTCTCCTCGCACTCATTATGATGGCTGATTTAGAAGGTGCAGGCTCGTCCTGCAAGGCCCACACTGCCGGGATCGTGGGGCGACAGCATCCTTCCACAAGAAGCACTGGAGACAAGAACACGTACGTGTATTACCAGTCAGACTTAAGCTTTTAAAGGGCAGGCAGAGGGGGCATAGCTAGTTTAGGGCAACACTAATTCTATAGGATAAAGCCGATAATTGGCGCAGCTGTGCTTCTCCAATCAGCTTGAAGGTCACATCACCTAATGGTCCTGGGCCACACCCGAGTGCTGTTTGCCTGACTGGTAATTACAAGACCCTTCAACGGGGAGTGAGGTAGGGGAAATGTGCCAGCAGTCAGACCATCCTAACCTCCTGCATGGGCTGGGCAGGCAATCCCCCAGCCAGGCACAGGATCACCCACAAAGAGGGAGCGTGCGAGGGAATAACATGTTCTTAGAATTGTACAGAGCACATCAGATCTGTTAAAAACTAACTTTTTTTGAAAAATTAAAACAGCTACATACAAGGACATCCTTTTGTGGAAAAAAACAACTATAGAAATTCTGTTGTGTTCATCACAATTGAGTTTGGATGGATTACCACAAATGAATAGTTGAAGATCTTTTTTAAAGTCACATTTTTTTGGCAGCAACATTTCTTTAGAATGTTGTCTAAGGCTAGCTGCATGATTAACGAAAGATATTGGGCTTTTTCCCATTTACTAAGTTGATAATTTTTTGGATTTATTTGTGATTATCATGGCATTGCTTTTTAATTATCCATAGGCTAATTTAGTACATTTCCAAAGAGTTAAAATTTTGAGTTTGTATCACTCAGATAATATTGGAATAAAATATGTAAAGGATAAAAAGATTGAAATCCTGTCACTTGCTACAATGTGGTGAACCTCAAGGATATTAATTTAAATGAAGTAAGCCAGTCACAAATGATCAAGTACTGTATGAAGTATTACACATAAAGTATTTAAAGGAGTCACAGCATAGGAGCAGAAAAGGTGATTGCCAAGGACTCGGGGGAGAGAAGAGGGAATGTGTGTCTAATGGGTAGAGAGTTGGATTTGCAAGATGAAAAATTCTAAAGCTCTGTTTAACAGTGTGGGTATACTTGACACTACTAACCGCATATGAGAAACTGCCAACATGATATATTTAATAGTTTTTTTTTTTTTTTTACCACAATAAACAAGCTACCTAGGTTATTCTCATGATAACCAGGTTTTGAAAACTGAAAAAAGCAGATTAATGGTATGGTATGGGTAAGTTCCTGTCCCCTTCTCTTCCCACTCACTCACTGCTTCTTCTACCCTGCTGGCTTTAGTGTTATGCAGAAACTAGGCCATACTGAAGGTAGGACACGGAGCACTGTCTTTACCCTTCTTACTCTCTATTTTCATCTTCCACAGATTGAAAAATTAAAACAGCAGTTGATTGAAACAAAGGAAAAAGCTGAAGAGGAGAAGCAGCAAATGGTGAGTTCTCTATATTCACTAACACTTTACTTACTGCTTAGTTCAGGTATTTAAGAGCCAATAAGTGTGGCTGGTGCTGGGAGACGGTTTCAGTCTCAGCTGCTCCACTTCCAGTCCAGCTCCCTGTTAAGGCACCTGGGAAAGCAGTGGAAGATGGCCCAAGTCCTTGAGCCCCTGCACCCGCATGGGGGACCCGAAGAAGCTCCTGGCTCCTGGCTTCAGACTGACCCAGCGCTGGCCATTGTGGCCATTTGGGGAGTGAACAAACAGATGGAAAATTTCTGTCTCTCCTCCTTCTCGCTCACTCTCTCTCTCTCTCTGTAACTCTGCCTTTCAAATAAATAAAATCTTTTAAAAAAAAAAAGACCCAATAAGAATAATAAGTTTAAAGCAGCCCAATGACTGGAAATCCCACACACTTCATTGTACAGAAGCTCAAAGATAACATAGTAAATATGTTATTGCAGAGAACTATCTGGTGTTAGGAATGCTTTTTGTTCCTAAGTTTGTTATTGTTTCTAGGGCTATTTCAGTAGACAGAGCTCAGAAATATATATTTTTAAAATATTAAATTATGAATTCATACTAATACTTTCAGTTCAGTTGTAGGAATATAAAGTTTTTATTTAATCTTACCTGTATCTCCTTTCTTCCTTGCCAAAAATCTAGTTCTTCAAAAAAAGTTGTTGGCCGGCACCACGGCTCACTAGGCTAATCCTCCGCCTGCGGCGCCAGCACCCTGGGTCCTAGTCCCGGTTGGGGTGCCGGTTCTGTCCTGGTTGCTCTCTGCTATGGCCCAGGAAGGCAGTGGAGGATGGCCCAAGTGCTTGGGCCCTGCACCCGCATGGGAGACCAGGATGAAGCACCTGGCTCTTGGCTTCGGATTGGCGCAGCGCCCCAACCGTAGCAGCCACTTGGGGAGTCAACCAACAGAAAAAGGAAGACCTTTCTCTCTGTCTCTCTGTCTCTCTCACTGTCTAACTCTACCTGTCAAAAAAATAAAAAATTAAAAAGAAAAAAGTTATCATTTATTTCTTTTTATCTATTTAAAAGGCAGAGAGAGAGAGAGATCTGTCATCTGCTGGTTTATTGCCTAAATGCCCACAACAGCTGGGGCTAGGCCACGCAGAAGCCAGGAGACAGAAACTCAATCTGGGTCTCCCACAGGGGTGGCAGGAACCCAAGTACTGGAGCCATCACTGCTGCCTCCCAGGGTGCCCATGAGTAGGAAGCTGGGATAGGAAGCGGAGTTGGGACTTTAACCCAGATACTCTGATAATGGGATGTGGGCATCCCAAGGGCATCTTTTTGTTGTATCTCATAAAGACAACATTTGAAACATAGTAATTTTTCCCACTGTACCTGCTCTCCCACCCCTTCCTCTTCCCTCTCCTGTTTAATCTGAGAAAGAAAAAGAAAAAATAATAAAATAAAAAAGCTAAGAAAATTGTCCGTCGACAGTCCAGCCAAGGGCTGTTCAGTGCTTCCTTATCGAAGGTGATTTCACTTTTTTTTCCCTTTCCTCCTTTCCTTTCCTTCCTCACCCTTCTTTTCTTTTAGAAACTTAATTATCTTTAAAGAAGAACCCAGGAATGATACATCTCTTGCCAGCTCTTAGATATAACTGTAACTAATATCCTCCACTTAATACACTAAAAGGAAGTGATTGGGGACAGAGGTCCTGCATGGGAAGTTAGTGCACAGTGACTCTTGCTTATTTAACAAATAGCACTCTTCTGTATGACATCAGTGATCACCGAGGTATCTTGACATGCGCTGCCTCAGCTATGGAGCCTTCACTCCTTTTTATTCTATTATTATTTCCAGACACGTAGTACTATTTATATGATCACTTTAACACTTGTCCCTTTCTATATGGTCACTTTACCACTTAATCCTATCCATTTGATCTCTGTAACACTTAAACTGATATATTTTACCAGCCAGCTTAAGGGAATTTGGGGTCCCATGGCAAATTTCTAAACTGTACCCTTAGAATTAAGTTCATAGGAATGTATGCAGAACTATACTGCTTTGTAGTTATGAACTTCATACATTTCAACTTTAAGGTCTTGGTAATTCTTCTCACTGTGCCTGCCCTCCTACCTACACTCCCACCCTCCTTCCTCTTCCTTTTCTTATTCTCACTCTTATTTTTTACTAAGATCTATTTTCTTTTATAAATCTTTTTAAAAAGATTTATTTTACTTATTTGAAAGACAGAGAGAGAGAGAGAGAGAGAGAGAGAGAGAGAGAGAGAGGTCTTCCATCTGCTGATTCACTCTCAAGATGGCTGCAATGGCCCGGAGCTACACCGATCCGAAGCCAGGAGCCAGGAGCTTCTTCCAGGTCTCCCACGTGGGTGCAGGGGCCCAAGGACTTGGGTCATCTTCTACTGCTTTCCCAGGCCACAGCAGAGAGCTGGATCAGAAGAGGAGCAGCCAGGACTAGAACCAAAGCCCATATGGGATGCCAGTGCTTCAGGCCGGGGCTTCAACCCACTATGCCACAGCACTGGCCCCTAAGATCTATTTTCAATTTTTATACACATATAATTAACCCTATGTTAAGTAAAGAGTTCAATAATTAGTATGAAAGAACAAAGATAAGGAAGATATGATAAGGGAAAAGAAAAGAAAAAGAAAAATATAAACTAAAAAGCTGTTTCTCAACAGACAAGGACTGTTCAAAGTCATTGCTTTTTGAAGTGTCAGTATCATTTCTACAGGTTGCCTTTTAGGTGCTCTTTTAGTTATCACAGGTCAGAGAGAACATATGGTATTTGTCCTTTTGGGGCTGGTTTATTTCACTAAGTATAATGTTTTCCAGTTTCATCCATTTTGTTGCAAATGACCAGATTTCATTTTTTCACTGCTTTGTAGTATTCCATGGTGTACATATCCCATAATTTCTTTATGCAGTCTTCAATTGATGGGCATTTCAGTTGATTCTATGTCTTTGGTATTGTGAATTGAGCTGCGATAAACATGGAGGTACAGATAGCTCTTTTTTTTTTTTCTAAGATTTTATTTATTTATTTGACAGGTAGGGTTACAGACAGTGAGAGAAATAGGCAGAGAGAAATGTCCTCTCTCCACTGGTTCACTCCCCAAATGGCCACAACGGCCAGAGCTGTGACGATCTGAAGCCAGGAGCCAGGTGCCTCTTCCCAGTCCCCCACGCGGGTGAGGGGCCCAAGCACTTGGGCCATCTTCCACTGCCTTCCCAGGCCACAGCAGAGAGCTGGACTGGAAGAGGGGCAGCTAAGACAAGAACAAGAGCCCATATGGATGCTGGTGCCGCAGGCGGAGGATTAACCCAGTGCGCCATGACGCCCGTCCCAGATAGTTCTTTCATATGCTGATTTTGTTTCCCTTGGGTAGATTCCCAGGAGTGGGATGGCTGGAATATATGGTAGGTCTATATTCAGATTTCTGAGGCATCTTCACACTGTCTCCCAGACTGGCTTTACCAATTTATATTCCCACCAACAGTGGATTAGGGTACCCCAGGGCATTTTCTTTTTTTTAGATTTACTTATTTATTTGAAAGTCAGAGAGAGGCAGAGAGGCAGAGAGGCAGAGAGGGAGAGAGAGAGAGAGAGAGAGAGAGAGAGGTCTTCCGTCCGCTGGTTCACTCCCCAAATGGCTGAAACGGCCAGAGCTCCGAAGCCAGGAGCCAAGAGCTTCTTCCGGGTCTCCCACATGGGTGCAGGGGCACAAGGACCTGTGCCATTTCATACTGCTTTTCCAAGCCATAGCAGAGAGCTGGATTGGAAGTGGAGCAGCCAGGACTGGAACTGGCGCCCATATAGGATGCCGGCACTGCAGGTGGCAGCTTTACCTGCTGTGCCACAGTGCCAGCCCCCTCAAGGGCATCTTAACCACAAAGTCAGATGCCCCCCTTCCAAAATCCTGGTTCTTAATCAGTATAATTACTTCGTTGCTTAAACCTTACTACATCAAAATCCTCAGTATACTAAGGTACCACCAATAGTAGATTACTGGAAATAATTTAGGATTTGGGGAGGTATTTCCACGCCCATAGAAAATATACTAATGAGGATTTATGGTCAAAATTGCAAGATATAAAACCATTTTGAATTCCTTACTGTGAACACAAACCCAACATATTTTGCCATAAACCCAACATATATGCCACAAATCCAACATATTTTGCTTCTGAGAGGTTGCTTTTTAAAAATATATATCTATTTATTTGAAAGAAAGAGATCTTCCATCCACTGGTTCATTTCCCAAATGCCAACAACAACTGGGTCTGGACCAGGCCAAAGCCAGGAGCCAGTAACTCAATCCAGATCTCCCACATGGGTGGCAGGGGCCCAAATACGTGGGCCATCATTTGGTACCTCCCAGGTGCATTAACAGGAAACAGAACGAGAAACAGAGGTGCAGGACTCAGACTCCAGGCACTCTGAAATGGGATATGGGTGCCCCAAGGGTAGTTTAACCTGTGTGCACAATGTCTGCCCCAGAGGTTACTTTTTAAGATTAAATTTTGAATGTAAAAATTTGTAATTATGTAAAGTGTATACATGGTTTTGAAATCAAGACTATCAAACAGGGGCTGGTGCTGTGGTGCAGTGTGTTAAAGCCCTAGCGTGCAGCGCTGACATCCCATATGGGTGCCTGTTCAAGTTCCTGCTGTTCCTCTTCCAATCCTGCTCTCTGCTGTGGCCTGGGAAAGCAGTAGAAGATGGCCCAAGTCCTTGTGCCCCTGCACCCACGTGGGAGACCTGGGAGAAGCTCCTGCTCCCGGCTCCAGATTGGCTCAGCTCCAGCCATTGTGGCCATTTAGGGGAGTGAACCAGAGGATTGGAGACCTCTCTCTCTCTCTCTCTCTCTCTCTCTCTCTCACTGTCTTTAACTTTACCTCTCAAACAAATAAAATGTTGTTTTTTTTTTTTTTAAAAAGACTGTGAAACAAAGTATGTATTGAGAAATCCAATTTCAATCCATGTCTTTTCCACACTGCCTTTTCCCTGTTCCTGTAGGTACTCATTGTGGGTTTATCCTTTCACTTAAAAATTTTTCACTGATGTTTGTAATAAATATTAACAGACAGGCATATTGCATCTCTTCTTTCTTAGATAAAGTGTAGTATATATTTTATTTCGTGTTTCTCGGAGATGAATCCACAGCCATGTATGAAGCTCTCCCGCATTAGCTATATGGTGGTCAGTTACATGTGTGTTCTCACTGTATTCAGCTGGACTCCACTTGAGTCAGGAATGCTAGGACAGGGTACCATAGATCAGGTGGTATAAACACACACATCACCCAGTTTTAGAGGCTGGAAGTCTGAGGTCAGGGTGTCAGCATGGGAAGGTTCTTTTATTTTATTTTATTTTATTTTTTGACAGGCAGAGTGGACAGTGTGAGAGAGAGACAGAGAGAAAGGTCTTCCTTTGCCGTTGGTGCACCCTCCAATGCGGCCGGCGCACCGCGCTGATCCGATGGCAGGAGCCAGGAGCCAGGTGCTTTTCCTGGTCTCCCATGGGGTGCAGGGCCCAAGCACCTGGGCCATCCTCCACTGCACTCCCTGGCCACAGCAGAGAGCTGGCCTGGAAGAGGGGCAACCGGGACAGAATCCGGCGCCCCAACCGGGACTAGAACCCGGTGTGCCGGCGCTGCTAGGCGGAGGATTAGCCTAGTGAGCCGCGGCGCCGGCCTCTTTTATTTTTTAAATAATTATTTTATTCAAAAGGCAGAGTTAGAGAGAGAGAGAAAGAGAACTTCCATCTGCTGGTTCACTCCCCAGAGGGCTGTATCAGCTGGAGCTGGGCCAGGCCAAAGCCAGAGCCAGGAGCTTCATCCAGGTCTCCCATGTGGGTGGCAGGGGCCCAAGCACTTGGGCCATCTTCTGCTGCTTTCCCAGATCATCAGCAGGGAACTGGATTGCAAGTGGAATATCTGGGACTCGAAGCATATGGGATGCCTGTGCCTGCAGGCAGTGGTTTAACCTGCTATGCCACGGCACCAGCCCCATAGGAAGTTTCTTAGTAAGGGCTCGCCTACTGGTTCAGAGGCCACTGCCGCCATGTGTATCCTCACATGGCAGAGAGAAAGTTCTCGTCTCCTCATCTCCTCTTGCAGGCGATCAGTGCCATCACGGAGCTGCACTGTCATGACTGTATCTAAACCTGATTGCCTACCCAAGGCCACACTTCCAGATGCTATTACACGGAGGCTTAGGACTTAAAGGAATTTAGTGAGAGGGGAGGGCAAGCACTCAGCCCATAGCTGCTGACGGGGTTGTTTCTACTGTTTGGTGCTGCAGTTACTGCTCCAGTAAAGAGCCTCTCCTGGACATCTTTTTACATTTTGGCCACTGTGTCTTTGGGGATAGATTTCTAGAGGTGATATTGCTGTGTCAAAGAAAAATATGTATTTTTTGTAGATGCTGCCAAATTTCCCTGTATAGATACTGTGCCGTTTTCATAATACCACTCCCGGGTGTGAGACTGCCTGTTTCTGCAGTGCTGCCAATAGAATATAGTGTCAAATTTGACTTTTGCCAATGTGACTGCTGAGAAATGGTATTGAAGTGTAGTTTTAATTTGTGTTTCATTACGAGGTAGGTTAAGAATCTTTTTCACGTTAGAGGGCCAATTGCATTTTTGATGTCTTTTGTTCATTTTTATTACATTGATCCTTTTCTTCTCCCTCTCACTTTCCCTCTCTCTCCTTCCTTTACTTCCTTCTCTTCCTCTTTCTCCTTTTTCTTGTTTTTCCTCCTTCCTTCTTCTTTTACTAGAACATTTATCCGCCCCTTGTATCTCAGCTTACTAATTTCAATTTAGGTTGGGGATGTTGCCCTTCTTACAGAGTAAAGATTTGTTTAGTCTTCTCATATCCCTTTTAAATAAATATCTACATTGTCTTCCTTTCTATCAGCTTGTATAGAAATTTTCCCAAAATTTTATTTCTTTTACATGTGGTTGGTATCTTTTTATAAAAACTAAAACTTTAGGGGCCAGCACCATGGCTCACTTGGTTAGTCCTCCACCTGCCGCGCCAACATCCATATGGGCGCCTGGTTCTAGTTCCAGCTGCTCCTCTTCCAATCCAGCTCTCTGCTGTGGCTCAGGAGGGCAGTGGAGGATGGCCCAAGTGTTTGGGCCCCTGCGTCAGCATGGGAGACCAGGAGGAAACACCTGGCTCCTGGCTTCGGATTGGCACAGCACCAGCCGTGGCAGCCATTTGGGGAATGAACCAACAGAGGAAAGACCTTTCTCTCCGTCTCTCTCTCACTGTCTATAACTCTGTCAAATAAATAAAAAAAAAATTAAAACTTTATTCAGAGGGCAGACATTTGGTACAGCAGTTAAGCTGCTCCATCCCATATCAAAGTGCCTGGATTTGAGTCCTGACTCTGCCCTCCATTCCAGCTTCCTGCTAATGCACACCCACAGTGCAACAGGTGATGGAGACAGCAGGCAATGGCTGAGCACTTCAGTCTCTGCCACCTGTATAGGAGACCTGGATTGAGTTCCTCGCTCCTGGCCTTGGCCTGGCCCAGCCCTTGCTGTTATGGGCATTTGGGGAATAACCCAGTCGATGGAAGAATTTTCTCTGTCTCTATCTCTTTTTCTTTTTTTCTCTTTGCCTTTTAAATAAATAAACATTTTAAAACTTTATGCAAAGGAAAAGGGATATTTCTTCAAAGATGTACAAATGGCTCAAGGCCTGAATGTGAACATGACTCTGGAACTTTTTTTTATAAAGATTTTATTTATTTATTTGAGAGATAGTTACAGACAGTGAGAGGGAGAGACAGAGATAAAGGTCTTCTGTCTGTTGGTTCACTCCCCAAATGGCTGCAATGGCAGGAGCTGTGCCGATCTGAAGCCAGGAGCCAGGTGCTTCTTCCCAGTCTCCCATGTGGGTGCAGGGGCCCAAGGACTTGGGCTGTCTTCTACTGCTTTCCCAGGCCATAGCAGAGAGCTGAATTGGAAGAGAAGCAGCTGGGACTAGAACCGGTGCCCATATGGGATGCTAGTGTCACAGGCGGAGGATTAGCCTACTGCGCCATGCATGGTGCTGGCCCTATCTGTGGAACTTCTGTTCTTTTTCCTAACTCATCTACAATCTCTTTTTTTAATACAGGAGCGCCAGTACACTATGTATATACATGACCTGGAGGGAAAGTTCAATCAAAGAATCAAAGAAATTGGCATGATTCAGACAGAGCTGAAAGCAATAAAACAATTTCAGAAGAGAAAAATTCAAGTGGAAAAAGAATTAGATGATGTAAGCGCCCCCCTACCCCAAGAGATTAGAACTAACTGTTTATGCTGCAGAAACCTTCACAAACATCCGCTACTATGAGACAGTAAAGAAGTCTTGACATTCTTGAGATTATTTGGGAGGAAAATAGGGAACCATACCAGGTTAGAACTGGAAACCAAAGATTTTTGACAGCAAGACCTTTTCTAGACATTGGTTTCTTGATGGACTCATCCAGCTGCAGCCACCACACCCTCCCACAGTTATTTAGTTAGTCTGGGGGATAATAATTTTAGAAAAAATGTAAAAGCTCTAGGGGTTAAAAGCCACTGTAATCCAAAAGGTGTACTTTGGAAATTTATATTTATTAAATAAAAGTTAAAAAAAAGAAAGAAAAAAGCTCTAGGGGTTTGGTTGAGTGGGGCAGGGATCACTAAGTGTTTTCAGGAAGTTTCTCTGACCTTGCTCTTAAGAAATGGCTCAGGATATGGTTTTATTGTGTTGATGATACTGCAGTAAATAGCACAAGTAGGTGCCTGGCAAAGGTAGCTGAAATTAGCTTTGTGAGTTAGGCAAGTTACTTAACCTTTCTGTACCTTGGTTTCCTTATTTATAAAATGTGGATAATAAAAGTTGCTATCTCAGATTGTTGTAGGATTAAATGAATTAATATATGTAAAATACTGCATGGCATGTGGTAAGAATTACATAAACGTGCTCCTAAAAGCTTGGCTTTGTCCCTGGTGCCAAATCAAAATAACAAGGACGGGGCTGGCGCCATGGCTCACTTGTTTAATCCTCCCAAATGGGCGTTGGGTTCTAGTCCTGGTTGCTCCTCTTCCAGTCCAGCAATTTGCTGTGGCCTGGGAAGGCAGTGGAGGATGGCCCAAGTGCTTGGGCCCTGCACCTGCATGGGAGACCAGGAAGAAGCACCTGGCTCCTGGCTACAGCGTGCCAGCCGTAGCAGCCATTAGGGGAGTGAACCAATGGAAGGAAGACCTTTCTTTCTGTCTCTCTCTCTCTCACTGTCTAACTCTATCAAATTAAAAAAAATGACAGGGTTGGAAGGGAAGGAACAAGAAAGCTTATTGACAGATGAAGGCAATCGCAAGCTTCGTGGTCTCAGGAAGTGCCATCCTGCTTTGCGGGTGGCCTGGGACTTGTAAGGAGCTGACAAGGAGGCTGGGCTGCTGAGCCAGGTGCTGATGCCAGCTGCAAGTCTGGTAACAGACCTCAGATGTCAGCACAGTTCCCTAGGAAACTTCCTTCATGGCTTGACTTTATTGTGAGGAGGACATAAGATATTCTGTACAACCAAGTAGCTACAAACGTTATTTGGCTGAGACCTGAAAGAGGTAAAGTATTGTGTTAAGAGACTGCAGTGCTTCGGTAGTCGGGATGGAGGCCACTCAGCCTGGAGCCCGTGCTTATCATGTCCTTAGGTGTTTGTACCTCTTTGTGTTTTGTTGCAACAAATTCAAACCTGGGTCATGCTGACTGGGAAGGGCCAGGTTACTTCCCAGTTGCAGCTGTCTTTGCCAAGGCCAGTTTGTGAAATCCACAAGCAAGCATGGTTTGTCTGTTGGAGCAGACACTTCAGTCAGTCTCAAGCTCAGTAGTTTCCTTTTGTACATCAGAATAGGCAAAGAAAGATGCATTTGGGCTGGTTACAAACTGATGTGCAGCTCTGTGTGAAGAAAGGTCCTGCTAACAGCATTCGCTGCTTTCCTGCCTTCTGCAGGAGTAATCTTAGACCATCACAGTTCTGATGATGTCATGATCACCTCTGCCGAGCATTGTCTTTAGTATCGATCCATTGAAAACTAACACTGCCAGACACCTTGGTGTGACAGTTAAGACTCTACACCTACCTAGGAATATTATCATCTTCTGTCTGGAATGTATTCCTGATCTCTATTCATTAAAATTTCACCATCTCTCAAAGGCTCAGCTCAAATTAATGCTCTCCCTGAGGCCTTCCCAAAGTCTTGTTTAAAACTAATTTTTGAGGGGTGACATTTGGTATCTCTTCTATATCATAGAGTTCATCTGTCCTGATACTGTATTCCTCATTTGTCTTGTCTACTAGATTGTAAATGCCTTGAGGCATGAACAGTATTATTCTTTGTATCAGTTGAAATGTGAAATTAAAAAAAAAAAAAGCCCGCACGCACAAGAAAACACACAAAAATAAGATACACAGCACACTCCATAATGTTTTTCAAGGGTGTTTCCGGTAGCAGCCCCGCAGGGAGTGCGGGTCTGGCGCCTGCGCACTGGCGCTCCCGGGCCGTCCTCTCCCGCAGCAGTGATGCGGGAGGCGCGCGCCGACCCGGTTGCCCGTCGACTCGGTCGCCCGTCGTGCCGCAGCCGTTTGGGGGCTCCGGGCTCTGAGATGGCAGAGCGGCCTTCAGGAGAGACGGCCGGCCAGGTGTGCGCCTTCCTCTTCAAAAAGCCTGGGCGGAAAGGGGCTGCCGCCCGCAGAAGGCGCCCGGTGTGCGACCCAGATCCCGGAGAAAGCAGCAGCAGTGGCGACGAGGGCAGCCCTGTGGTTCGGCCCGAGAGGAGGCGGGCGGCCCACAACCCCATGATACAGAAGACCTGTGGCGGCGCGAAGCGGAAGGCGGCCCGCTGCGACGGGAGCTGCGGGGAGGAGGAGGCGGGAAAGGAGCCCGAGAGCCTCGGCGTCGTCTACAAGTCCACCCGCTCGGCCAAACCCGCGGGCCCCGAGGATATGGGGGCGACGGCCGTGTACGAGCTGGACACGGAGAAGGAGCGGGACGCGCAAGCCATCTTTGAGCGCAGCCGGAAGATCCAGGAGGCGCTGAGGGGCCAGGAGGATGACAAGATCTACCGGGGCATCAATAACTACCAGAAATACATGAAGCCCAAGGATACGTCGATGGGCAATGCCTCCTCCGGGTTGGTGCGGAAGGGCCCCATCCGAGCGCCCGAGCACCTGCGAGCCACCGTGCGCTGGGATTACCAGCCCGACATCTGTAAGGACTACAAGGAGACTGGCTTCTGCGGCTTCGGAGACAGCTGCAAATTCCTCCACGACCGCTCAGATTACAAGCACGGCTGGCAGATTGAACGTGAGCTTGATGAGGGTCGCTACGGTGTCTGCGAGGCTGAAGACTACGAAGTGGGGAGCGACGAAGAGGAAATACCATTCAAGTGTTTCATCTGTCGCCAGACCTTCCAAAACCCCGTGGTGACCAAGTGCAGGCATTATTTCTGCGAGAGCTGTGCCCTGCAACATTTCCGCGCCACCCCGCGCTGCTACGTCTGCGACCAGCAGACCAGTGGCGTCTTCAATCCAGCCAAAGAACTGATGGCTAAGCTGGAGAGGCACAGAGCTGCAGCAGAGGGCAGTACTTCCGGGTTCCCCGGCGAGCCCCCATGAGGGCCCAACTCCCATCACAGACGTTTCCCGTAATTCTCAAAGCTCAAAATAAACATTCTGTTGTTCTTTTGGAAATCTTAAAATACTTGAAGAATTGTCAAGTTTTAAGTGAAAATGCTGCAAGTTGAATAATATAGTTTTCAGGAACTCTCAAAATAGCCATCCTCTATATAGACTTACATTCTAGTAAGCCCTTGTGTGATTTTTTTTTTTAAGAACAATATTGCCACCTAATGGTGAACTACATCTCAGCCATTTCAGAGGAGGCTGTGGAGATTTAAAATTCAAATGCAATAGACATTGATGAGTCTGTGGAATCCCAAGGGAGGAATAACTGAAATAGGTGTGAGAGTCCGTGAACTTAACACTGAAAGATACACATTAGGAAAGCAAATTAGTACACTGAATATCTAGAATTCATTATACAAATTAAAAAGAGACTAAACAGATTCAAGGCACACGTTTTAAAGAAAATATGGTTTCCGGGTCTAGCACTGTGGTGTGTCGTAGCAGGTAAAGCTGCCACCTGCAGGGCTGGCATCCAATAGGGACATTGGTTTGAGGCCTGGCTGCTCCATGCCCAGTCCAGCTTCCTGCTAATGTGCCTGGGAAAGCAATGGAAGATGGCCCAAGTACCTGGGCCCCTGCACCCACGTGAGAAACTCAGATGAAACTCCCGGCTTTAGCCTGGCCCAGCCCTGGCAATTGTGGCCATTGAGTGAAACAGCGGTTGGAAGATTCTCAATTTATTCTCTCTCTCAGCCTCTCTTTCTCTGTAACTCTGACTTTCAAATAAATCTTTTTAAAAAAGAAAAAATGGTTCCTATTAACAATCATATTTGTAGGTGGCAGTTAGGATTTTTTTTTTGTTTTAGTCTTTTGATAAAATGATAATATTCACTTCAGTAAACTTAGCTTAATTGATTAAAAAAATGCCCTGCTCCTCACAGTTACCTAGAGATAAGCCTTGTTAATATTCTGATAATTAGGGGACAGCACTGTGGTGCTGGCCTGCAGCTCCAGCATCACTTATGGGCACCAATTCAAGTCCTGGCAGCTCCACTTCTGATCCATTTGCTGCTAATGTGCCCAGGAAGGCAGCAGAGGCTGGCCCAAGTCTTTGGGCACCTGTACCTATGTGGGAGACTCAGAGGAAGCTCCTGGCTCCTGGCTCCTGGCTCCTGGCTTCAGATCAGCCCAGGTCTGGCCACTGTGGCCATTTGGGGAATGAACCAGCGGATGGAAGACCTCTCTCTCTGTCTCTACTTCTCTAACTTTGTCTTTCAAATAAAAATTCTGATATCTTTCCTTTTTTTCCTTGCTGTGTGGGAAACAAAACTATGATGTGCTATTTTCACACAACTGAAGTCCTTCTGTACACACTGATAACCTGCATTCTCACTTGATTCACACTTTTCAATGCCATTAAATATTTTCCCATAAAATCTTTTAGAAAGTACATGGCATTCCATTGGATAGAATAATTTGTTAAATGGTCCCTTGCTGTTGGACACTTGGAGTTTTTCTTATTTTTCGTTATAAACTGTGATGTACATCTAAGGAATGGCATATTTTTCTGTATCTTAATTTGCCCCCCTCATTTTTTTAATGTGAGAGGTAGACAGCTCCCATCCACTTGTGTATTCCCCTGAAACATTGAAGTCAGGAGCACAATGCACATTTCCCATGTAAGTGGTAACTCAGTTACTTGACCTATCACAGGTTCACATTAGCAGGAAGCTGGAATCAGAAGCTTGAGGCAAATGTCAAATCCAGGCATTCTGATAGGAGATGGGTCCTAACTGCTGTCTTAATCACTATGCGAAATGCCTGCTCTTTAAATAAGGAGCTTCTTAGAAGTGGAATTTATGAGTTAAAGAACGTGAACTTAAAAAAAAAGATTTATTTATTTGAAAGTCAGAGTTAGAGAGAGGCAGAGAGAGACAGAGGTCTTCCCTCTGCTGGTTCACTCTCCCAATGGCTACAAAAGCTGGAGCTGGGCTGATGCAAAACCAGGAGCCAAGAGTTTACTCCAGGTCTCCCATGCAGATGCAGGGGCCCAAACACTTGGGTCATCTTCTACTGCTTTCCCAGGCCACAGTAGAGAGCTGGATGGGAAGTGGAGTAGCCAGCACTTGAACTGGTGCCCACATGAGATGCCGGCACCGCAAGCGGCAGTTTTATCTGCTATGCCACACCGCCAGCATCATGAACATGAACTTTCAAAGGCTTGTGATACACACTGCCTAATTATATTTTCAAATATTTATTAATTTATATATTCCAGGGGGGAGTTTAATGGTGTATGAAAGGTTCATCTCTATACACACTAGAATGGAAGATATTTTTATAAACTTGTATGTTGATATAATTGAACAAGTCTATGACAGTGTAAGAAGCCATTTTAAAAAGTTGTGTAGGGGCTGGCGCTGTGGCACAGTGGGTTAATGCCCTGGCCTTGAAGCACCAGCATCCCATATGGGCACCGGTTCAAGACCCAGCTGCTCCACTTCCTATCCAGCTCTCTGCTGTGGCCTGGGAAAGCAGTAGAAGATGGCCCAAGTCCTTGGGCCCCTGCACCCATGTGGGAGACCTGGAAGAAGCTCCTGGCTCCTGGCTTCAGATCAGCACGGTGTGCTGGCTGCAGTGCGCTGGCCGGCAAGGGAAGACCTTTCTCTCTCTCTCTCTCTCACTGTCCACTCTGCCTGTCAAAAAAAAAAAAAAAAAAGTTGTATAAAAAATTAGGAAGAACATCTGAAAGAGATGATATAAAGTGGAAATTTAATACAGTTAGAGATTACAGTAAGTAAAGCTGTTAAGTATAGGGGAGGGTAATATTAGACATAATAATAACCTATAATAACCTATACATTAAATGGTTACTATGCTAAGTACTTTATATGCATTATTTATTTATTTTTAGATTTTATTTTATTTTTTTTTTTTGAGAGGTAGAGTTACAGACAGTGAGAGGGAAAGACAGAGAGTAAGGTCTTCCATCGGTTCACTCCCCAAATGGCCACAATGGCCAGAGCTGCACTGATCCGAAGCCAGGAGCCAGGAGCTTCTTCCGGGTTTCCCACGCGGGTGCAGGGGCCCGAGTACTCGGTCCAGCTTCTACTGATTTCCCAGGCCAAAGCAGAGAGCTGGATTGGAAGGGCAGCCGTGACTAGAACTGGCGTCCATATGGGATACCAGCACCGCAGGCGGAGGATTAACCTACTGTGCCACGGTGCCAGCCCCACATTATGATTTAATCCTTACCATCCTTACCATGCCCCTATGAGACGGATACTATTACTATCCTCTTATGCCTGGAGATCTGAGACAGAAAATTAAACGAATTGCTTAGGGCCAACCGGTTGGTGAGAGAGGCAGCCCTGACTGTGGTCTATCTAATGGAAAGCCTTCATTTTTTGTGGCATGAATGTTATAGTAAGTATGCCTATTTCAATCTTATCTTTTTTAAAAAATTACTTATTTGAAAGACTGAGTTACAGAGAGAAAGGAAGACAGAGATCTTCCATCCCCTGGTTCACTCCCCAAATGGCCACAATAGTCAGGGCTGGGCCAGGCCAAATCCAGGATCCTGGAATTCTATCTGGGTCTCCTACATGGGTGCAGGAATCCAAGGACTTGGACCATCTTCTACTGCCTTCCCAGGCACATGAGCAGGGAGCTGGATCAGAAATGGAGTAGCCAGGACTCCTACCAGCACCTATGTGGGATGCAAGCATTGCAGGTGGTAGCTCAATGTACTGTGCCATGATGCCAGCCCCAATCTTATTCATTCTTACTATAAATATAGGCTACAGGATTATTGATTTAAATTAGCTTAACTCTCTTAACCAAAAGAATTGAATCTACGTAGTTTTAGAGAACAGAAGTAGGCTCTATCCATGGTAGTCACAGGAGTTGTTTTTAAATTGATGTTAGCTAAGAAGAATTGTTTTATAAGTCAGAAGGTTCATTTAGCTTCCAAGGAAGAATATTTTGAAAGTGGGAACTACTAGGGAGCAGCCTCTAGTGTATTATGAGGTTTGAATTGGTGGTATGTCTGTCTCGGGATATTTTTCTTATATTCGGTTAGAGAATTGTATAGTCCGACTCCTCAGGTCCCTTTCAACTCTAAAATTTTATTATTATGTGGTTCCACACATGTGACCTCGTCTGAATGTTCTGAGAACTGTTATCCGTGAAAGGCTTTTAAAGAACTCAGTATTGATCTTAGAAGCCTGTAGACGATTGAGGGAAATACAATGCTTGGAGGCAAGGACACCTGGTTTTTCTGGGTGTTTAGGATTAAGAGGTCATGTACAAAAGATGTTGCTCTAGTGAGAGTTTTCTAGGAATATGTCCCAATCAAACCCACTTCCTACTGACCATTTTTTTTTTTATATTGTAATTTTAGCTGAAGGAGAGTTTAAGGAACACAGAACGGAAACATCAGGAGACTCTTAGAAGACTAGAAGGCAGATTTTTTGAAGAAAAGGTACGGAATATGTGTGTTAATTAGAAATGTTTTCTAGGATAACATAAGTATATTTATATGCATTCTGGCATGCATCATCCTTCCATTTGATATCTTATTGGAAGATTGTTGTTGATTCACAGCAGAATAAGAATTGGAGGGGCCGGCATAGCGGGTGAAGCCCCTGCCTGTGGTGCCAGCATCCCATGTGGGCACCAGTTCTAGATCCAGCTGCTCCACGTCCAGTCCAGCTCCCTGTTAATGTGCCCAGGACAGCAGTGGAGGATGGCTGAAGTGGTTGGGCCTCTGCAGCCACGTGGGAGACCTGGAAGAGTCTCCTGGCTTTAGATCAGCCCAGCTCTGGCTTTTGCGGCTATTTGACAAGTGGACCAGCAGATGGAGGCACGCTCTCTCTCTCTCTCTCTCTCTCTCTCTCTCTCTCTCTGTGTGTGTGTGTGTCTGTAACTTTGCCTTTCAAATAAATCTTAAAAAAAAAAAAAAAAGGGAAAAAATCTATTCTAGCCATCTCAAAATCATTTTCTGCCTTCCCATTGAGAGATTTTTGAAATCTTATTTATTTGAAAGGCAGAAACAGACAAGACAGATGAGATCTTCCATCTTTTGGTTCATTCTCCAAATGCCTGCAACAACTGGGTCTGGGCTAGGCCAAAGCCAGGAGCCAGAACTCAATCTGGATCTCCCTTATAAGTTGACCTTGGCAGGGACCCAAGTACTCGAGCCATCACCCACTCTCCCAGAGTGTGCACTCCAATTTGGGATGTACATGTCCAAGTGACATCTTAACTGCTATGCCAAATACGCAGTCCAATTCTCGAAGTCTTTAAAAGGAATTATCATAAAGGCTTCAGGACACATCTCCCTCAGCTTGGTATTCCCCTAGTGGGATTAAAACTACATGTGCCCCATTATATGAGAGAGATGGGATTGGAGGAGTCACTCTGGTGTATGTACAAAGATGTTCCATTAGCCAAGTTAAACTAAGATGCTAATTAAACATGGTCAAAATATTTTTATTAATATAAAGAGAATAGATTTCATGTTTTTCAAAGATACAGTTCTAAGAACAAAAGGATACTTCCCTCAAACATGTTCTTTGATATATCGCAAACTTCCAAGTTTCTCTATGACTCTGAAATTAATTCTTCAAATTGTAGGATGTTCATCAAGATACTAATATAGAATTTTTCAGAGGCCCTATGGTTTTTCTTGAATTGTTTTATTTAATTTTTCCTTCTTACTCTGGCATTGTTCTGGCTGCTCCACTCCCAATCCAGCTCCCTGCTAATAGCCCCGAGAAAAACAGCAGAAGATGACCTAAGTGCTTGGGCTCCTGCCACCCACATAGGAAACCTGGATGAAGCCTCTGCTCTGGCTCCTGGCTTCAGCTTGGCCCAGCCCAGGCCATTGCAGCCATCTGTGAGTGAAGCTGTGGATGGAAGACCTTGCTCTTTCTTCCTTTTTTTTTTTTTTTTAAAGGTTTATTTATTTGTTTCAAAGAGTTACACAGAGAGAAGGAGAGGCAGAGAGAGAGAGAGAGAGGTCTTTCATCCACTGATTCACTCCCCAATTGACTGCAATGGCCAGAGCTGTGCTGATCCAAAGCCAGGAGCCAGGAGTTTCCTCCAGGTCTCCCACGTGGGTGCAGGGGCCTAAGGACTTGGGCCACCTTCTACTGCTTTCCCAGGCCATAGCAGAGAGCTGGATCAGAAGTGAAGCAGCCGGGACTCGAACTGGCACCCATATGGGATTCCAGCAACACAGAGGACAGCTGTACCTGCTATGCTACAGCACTGGCCCCAAGACCACTCTCTCTCTATCTCTCCCTCTCTCAGTGTAATAAATAAATTAATTAATTTTTTTTTTTTTTTTTTGACAGGCAGAGTGGACAGTGAGAGAGAGAGACAGAGAGAGAAAGGTCTTCCTTTGCCGTTGGTTCACCCTCCAATGGCCGCCGCTGCAGCCGGCGCACCGCGCTGATCCTGGCAGGAGCCAGGATCCAGGTGCTTTTTCCTGGTCTCCCATGGGGTGCAGGGCCCAAGCACCTGGGCCATCCTCCACTGCACTCCCTGGCCATAGCAGAGAGCTGGCCTGGAAGAGGGGCAACCGGGACAGAGTCCGGCGCCCCGACCGGGACTAGAACCCGGTGTGCCGGCGCCGCAAGGTGGAGGATTAGCCTATTGAGCCACGGCGCCGGCTTAAATAAATTAATTAATTAATAAACAAACCTGTAAAAAAGCAAAAAGAAAATGTTTTTCCTTCTTAGAATTAAATGGATCCTTTCAGAAATTTCTAAGATTGTGGGGTGTTGAGAGTGGGCAGTTAAATACATATAAATTCCGGCCGGCGCCGCGGCTCACTAGGCTAATCCTCCGCCTAGCGGCGCCGGCACACCGGGTTCTAGTCCCGGTTGGGGCGCCGGATTCTGTCCCGGTTGCCCCTCTTCCAGGCCAGCTCTCTGCTGTGGCCAGGGAGTGCAGTGGAGGATGGCCCAGGTGCTTGGGCCCTGCACCCCATGGGAGACCAGGAGAAGCACCTGGCTCCTGCCATCGGATCAGCGCGGTGCGCCGGCCGCAGCGCGCCAACCGCAGCGGCCATTGGAGGGTGAACCAACGGCAAAGGAAGACCTTTCTCTCTGTCTCTCTCTCTCTCACTGTCCACTCTGCCTGTCAAAAAAATAAATAAATAAATAAAAAATACATATAAATTCCTGCCGGCACCGCGGCTCAATAGGCTAATCCTCCGCCTGTGGTGCCGGCACACGGGTTCTAGTCCCGGTCGGGGTGCCGGATTCTGTCCCAGTTGCCCCTCTTCCAGGCCAGCTCTCTGCTATGGCCAGGGAGTGCAGTGGAGGATGGCCCAAGTGCTTGGGCCCTGCACCCCATGGGAGACCAGGAGAAGTACCTGGCTCCTGCCATCGGATCAGCGCAGTGTGCCGGCCGCGGCAGCCATTGGAGAGTGAACCAACAGCAAAAGGAAAACCTTTCTCTCTGTCTCTGTCTCTCACTGTCCACTCTGCCTGTCAAAAAAAAAAATTTTTTTTTCCTTAGATAAAAGGAATTCCTTTAAAACTGGCTCCAGGCTTTGTCTGTGTATCTGATAGCCTGGGGGTGGGGTAGGGCAGGAGCAATATCAAGGTATTTTTATTCTGAGACATTTCTGGGACAGGCTGCTCTCAGTTACCTCTCTGCTCTAAACTTGATCTTTTCCATGTGATCTAGAAAACAAAAGTTAGAAGTGCTTGATAAATAAATAAAAATCAACAACAACAACAAAAAAGAAAGGTGAAGCGTATTTGGTGCAGCCTTAAAGTGTACTGAAAGAGCTGCATCCCATGCTGGAGTCCTGGGGTCCTGTCTCAGCTCTGCTTGCAATTCCAGCTTCCTGCTAAGCACACCCTGGGGGATAGCAGATGATAACCCAGGACACTGGGTCCCTGCTACCCATGTGGGAGACCTGGATATTGAATTCCAGCTCCTGGCTTTGGCCTGGCCCTGTCCTGGCTGTTGTGGGCAATTGTGGAGAGAACCAGTGGATAGAAGATCTCTCTCTCTCCCCTCCTCTCTCCTTACTTTAACTTGGCCTTTCAGATAAATAAAAATCTTTAAAAAAAAGTTACTGCAGTTCAGGCTTTGCCTACATTTAGGGCAAACAGAGGGGGATCCTTAGCTGCATCCATCTCTGTTAGCTGGAAGTCATGAAAGCTTTCCCAAAGGCTCCTATCACATTTTTTCTTACATCTCCTTGGAAAGAACTTCTATAACAGAGGCTGGGAAACAATGTTTGGTCTTCCAGCCACGAGTAGAAGCTGAGAAGAGAAAATGATGGAACTGAGTGTGGGGTTGACTAGCACTGCCCTGTCTGCCTCACTCTGTCTGCCAGGGGTTTTGTGGGTGTTTCTCCTATGCTGACGAGAGCCCCATTGCTTCTGCTTCATGGCAGGGCCTTTCCAATAGGCCTGCTCATTCATCTCATAGCTCAGCCGGTTCCACCTATTCATATAAACGATGTCTTCAGATCACTGGGCTTAGTTTTCCGATGTATTTCTTCCTGCTCCTTGAATCCCTGCAAACCCTCTCTCCCTTCCACATGTTTGTGTATGTTTGTATTCCTCTTCCTGGAATGCACTTCCTCCAGCTGTGGCTCATTCTCATTCTTTATGGCTCAAATTTCATTTCCTCAGAGAGACTCCCTAAACTTCAATCTAAAATGATCTCCCGGGGGCTGGCTCTGCCACCTGCAGTGCCAGCATCCCCTATGAGTGCCGGTTGGAGTCCGGGCTGCTCCACTTCTGATCCAGCTCTCTGTTATCACCTGGGAAAGCAGTAGAAGATGGCCCAAGTCCTTGGGCTCCTGTACCTGCATGGGAAGACCCGGAGGAAGCTCCTGGCTCCTGGCATCAGATCTGCACAACTCCGGCCATTATGGCCAATTGGGGAGTGAACCAGTAGATGGAAGACCTCTTTCTCTCTCTGCCTCACCTCTCTCTCTGTAACTCTGACTTTCAAATAAATAAATAAATCTTACAAAAAAATAAAAAATAAAATGACCTCCCTCAATTATTGTCTATTTCATTACCCATTTTTTTTCATTTTTAGCATTTATTACAATGTTAATTCTCTACTTATTGGCATTTTAGGGAGGCAGTACACAGTCAGATTGCCTGCAGAAGAACCCCTGCTCTGCCTCTTACTAGCTCTCTGACTCTGGGGCAGCCACTAGCCTCTGCCTGAGATTTTTATGTCCTTGCTTTTGGGGATAATAATAATATCTATTTAATAGGGTAGTTGTGAAAAGTAAATAATATATATAAAGCTTTTAAGAACCATTGGTGGCACATAGTAAATGCTCAATACATTGTAATTATTGTTTGAATCCCAATGAGCTTCATGTGATTAAGAGCTTTGTTCACTATAGAATTCTGCTACCTAAAACAACTTAATATATATTCAGTGGGAATTTGTTGAATAAATGAATCTCTTCACTTTGCATTTAGCAGAAATTTCTCCAAGCTCTGCTTTCCAACCTGGATGTGGGTTTTCCTTCCTCCCCCCATGTATGTGTCATGCTCCTCTTTAGTGGGGAAATTGGGAAGTAGATACCCTTAGGTGGCTATGTGCATAATTTCCTCTTTGCTGCTTCTCCACCAGGACATGGAGTTTCATGTGGATAGTAGTGTTTCATTTGATGTACTGAAATAATTCATTTTTGATGTGTAAAATTAGTTTTTAGAACCTATAATTCTGTATTTAAACTGCCTGTTTTCTTTTTTAGCATCGACTAGAACAAGAAGCTGAAAAGAAGGTAATAATGCTGGCAGAGCGAGCCCACCATGAAGCTATTGTGTAAGAGACTGCTGCCCCTTTTTCTTTTTTAAAGATTTATTTATTTATTTGAAAGTCAGAGTTACACAGAGAGAGAAGAGGCAGAGAGAGAGAGATCTTCTACCCACTAGTTCACTCCCCAATTGGCCACAATGCCTGGAGCTGCACCGATCAGGAGCCAGGACCTTCTTCCATGTCTTCCACATGGGTGCAGGGGCCCAAGGACTTGGGCCGTCTTCTACTGCTTTCCCAGGCCATAGCAGAGAGCTGGATTGGAAGTGGAGCAGCCGGGTATTGAACCAGCGCCCATATGGGTAGCCGGCGCTTCAGGCCAAGGCATTAACCCGCTACACCACAGCACCGGCCCCACGCTGTCCCTTTTTCTGATGGCCTATCTTACCTCTTTGCTGATCCTCCACCCTTCTCTCCTGGATGGCTTTGTTCAGATTTTCTGGTCTCCCTTCCCGTACTGTTTCTTTCTCTTTGTGCTTCCACCCCTTTTCCCTCCACCCTTTCTGTAGCAGTGTGGTATGATGGAAACAAAAACGGGGCCTTAAAGTCTTTGCTCTCAACAGGCATGCTGACTGAACGAAGATTTCTTAACTTTGATATTAAATGTTGTTGGGAGACCAGGAGAAGCACCTGGCTCCTGGCTTCGGATCAGCACAGTGCACCGGCCGCAGCGCACCGGCCGCAGCGGCCATTGGAGGGTGAACCAACGGCAAAGGAAGACCTTTCTCTCTGTCTCTCTCTCTCACTGTCCACTGTGCCTGTCAGAAAAAAAAAAAAAAAAGAAATTAAATGTTGTCATCTAAAAATGGAGCTAATGATAGTCATTTTGCAGGGTTGTCAAAGGTATATTAGTGAAAGTAACCCAAAACTGTGTTGTGTTAATAAATGGACTCCCAGGGGTCAGTGTTTTATTTCTTGCTCATGTGACAGTCCAGTGTGGATCTGACAGCTTTCCTCCATGGGGATTGAGGAATCTGGGCTGCTTCCATCTGTACCTCTGCCACCTTGCAGTTTTCACATCCATCTTGTGTACAGGAGAGAGCATGGGCAACTTGTACCTGGAAGTAACACATCATTTTCCACTTAATTACAAGTTCCCAACTAACTAATGAGTGGTGGTCATGATTATTAACAGTGGGGGTAAAGCAATCACTGTTCTTGTTTGGTAATATCTAAAACTTAGGCCTGTGTTTTGAATTCTCATATCTCTCTTTCAGGCAACTGAATAATGCTGGGAGAAGTGTTTTTAAAGAGAATGTTTACCTCCAGAAAGCTCTTGCCTACCACCAGAAGGAGGCTGATGCTCTACAGAAAAACTCTCAGAAGTTGAAAGAGAATCATACTTTCCTCTTACATCAAAAGGTTCCTGTTTTCATTCAGATTTTTATAAAGGATTGGGTTGATGAATAGCAAGGATTGAGTATAGTAATGATTCATAAGGACAATGCAAGTGTTTTTCTTCTGTCTCAATGCCACACTTTCCATATCTGAGAAGATTAATTACTGAATGACTTATAAGAAGCGTTAGACTTCACTTTATAAAGAATATATCAGAGGGGGGCCGATGCCATGGCTCAATAGGCTATCTTCCATCTGCAGCACCGGCACCCCGGGTTCTAGTCCCGGTCAGGACGCTGGATTCTGTCCCGGTTGCCCCTCTTCCAGGCCAGCTCTCTGCTGTGGCCCGGGAGTGCAGTGGAGGAAGGCCCAAGTGCTTGGGCCCTGCACCCGCATGGGAGACCAGGAGAAGCTCCTGGCTCTTGCCATCGGATCAGCGCGGTACGCCGGCCGCAGCACGCTAGCCGCAGCGGCCATTGGAGGGTGAACCAATGGCAAAGGAAGACCTTTCTCTCTGTCTCTCTGTCTCTCACTGACCACTTTGCCTGTCAAAAAATAAAAATAAAAAATAAAAAAAGAAGCCGGCGCCGTGGCTCAATAGGCTAATCCTCCACCTTGCGGCGCCGGCACACCGGGTTCTAGTCCCGGTTGGGGTGCCGGATTCTGTCCCGGTTGCCCCTCTTCCAGGCCAGCTCTCTGCTATGGCCAGGGAGTGCAGTGGAGGATGGCCCAGGTGCTTGGGCCCTGCACCCCATGGGAGACCAGGAAAAGCACCTGGATCCTGGCTCCTGCCATCGGATCAGCACGGTGCGCCGGCTGCAGCGGCGGCCATTGGAGGGTGAACCAACGGCAAAGGAAGACCTTTCTCTCTGTCTCTCTCTCTCACTGTCCACTCTGCCTGTCAAAAATAAAAAAAAAAATAAAATAAAAAAAAAAAATAAAAAAAAATAAAAAAAGAGTATATCAGAGGGGCTAGTGCTGTGGCGTAGTGGGTCAAGCTGCTGCCTGTGGCGCCAGCGTCCCATATGGGCGTTGGTTGACATCCCAGCTACTCCACTTCCAGTCCAGCTCCCTGCCAATCCTTCTGGGATAGCAGCAGCAGATGGCCCAACTGCTTGTTTCTCCCATCCATGTGGGAGACCTGGATGAAACTCTTAGCTCCTGGATTTGGGCTCGTCCAGCTTCAGCCATTGCAGCCATTTCGGGGAGTGGAGCAGCGGAAGGAAGATCTCTTTCTCTCTCTCACTGTGTGTGACTCTGCTTTCAAATAAACAAATTGATTAATGTTAAAAAAAAAAAAAGTCAGCCCATGATAGGTGATAAATTTGCAATTTCTGGTACAGGGTTTTTCAACCTCTGCACTGTTGATATTTTGGGCCAAATAATTCTTTGTTGGGGATTGAGGCAGGGAGTTGTCCTGGGCCGATCCGAAGCCAGGAGCCAGGAGCTTCATCCTAGTCTCCCAGCTGTGTGCAGGGGCCCAAGCACTTGGGCCATCCTCCACTGCTTTCCCAGGCACATTAGCAGGGAGGTGGATCAGCAATGGAGCAGCCAGGACTTGAACTGGATTCATATAGGATGCTAGCACTGCAGACTGTGGCTATACCCGCTATGTCACAGCACCAGCCTCATAAATATGTCTCTTATCCTCTGCTACATTAGAATATTCACTTTGCTTTGCTGATAATTGGTCCCTGAGTCATTTAAGAATAGGTTAGTTGTGGGTAATAGCCCTGACATCAATGGTATTATCACATAGGATAATTCTTTTACCTAAAGGAAGTCTAGAACTAAGCAGTTCAGAGCAGTAATGCTGGTAGTGCCACAAAGTCAAGAGATACTTGGCTTCCTTAACTGTGCTTTGCAACATGTGGCTTACATCGTCAAAGTTAACTCATGGCCCAAGGTGGCTACTGAAGTTCTAACCACTGTTCCAAACAGCAGGAAGGAAGGACAAGAAGGAAAAAGGTGTGTTCCTCCCTTCAGAGGTATCCCCCTCCTCTCTTTTTAAGATTTATTGATTTATTTGAAAGGCAGAATTACAGTGACAGAAACAGAGGAAGAGAGATCGTCCATCTACTGGTTCACTCCTCATCTCATATGGGCACCGGCTGCTTCATTTCTGATCCAGCTACCTGCTAATGGCCTGCACCCACGTGGGAAACCCAGAAGTTTCTGACTCTTGGCTCTTGGCTTTGCATTGGCGTAGCTCTGGGCATTGCAGCCATTTGGGGAGTGGACCGGTGGATGGAACACCTCTCTCTCTCTCATTCTACCTTTCAAATAAATAAATGAATCTGAGAGAGTTGAGGTTTTATTACCAAAAAGGAATGGGAAAAGGAAAGTGGATATTGGGATAGGCAAGTAAGAGGCTGCTGGGGTTTGCAGTACGTAGTCACTGCTGTTCTGCTGTGTAGTCTTACTGACACTGACAAAACAGAATAGACCTTCCGAATTTTAGAGGAAGGAGAATTTCATAATTAGCAAAATCAGTGAATTGCCTTCACAAATCTAAATAAGGCTCCCAGCATGATAGGATATTTACGACTTTCTATACATAAAATATCAAAATAGCACCTTCTCAGCATGGCATCATCTCAAACTCCATGAAATAATGGAAGTTATTGAGGGACTTAATTCTGGAGTGATTGAAGAACAAACATCTCTCATTTTTCTGTTTGTAGGAGATCAATGAGCTGTTGGTTAAGGAAAAGTTAATGCAACTTACCCAGCAGAGATCACAAATTCAGGTTCTTCAGAAGAAGGTGGTAAGCTTGGAAAATGCTCTGAGTTGTATGACCAGGGAGTTTGAGACTGAAGTGTTAAAACTGCAGCAACACGCAATGATAGAGAACCAGGCTGGGCAGGTAGAGATCGACAAGCTGCAGCAGCTGCTTCAGATGAAGGACAAGGAAATGAACCGAGTAAAGAAGCTGGCCAAGAACATACTGGATGAGAGAACTGAAGTGGAGCGGTTCTTTCTAGACGCTCTACACCAAGTGAAGCAACAGATCCTAGTCAACAGGAAGCACTATAAGCAGATAGCGCAAGCTGCTTTCAACTTCAAAATGAGAGCAGCGTGTGCAGGAAAAACGGAGTACCCCAAGATCAGAACGTTTGATGGCAGAGAACACAGCACCAACAGTGTGAACCAGGACCTTCTGGAGGCTGAAAAATGGTACTGACAATACTTTATTGTCTTCTACGCTAATATTTTTTTGTGCTCTTTAAAAAAATAAGGACTCTGAAAAGTTGAATTTGATAATGTCAAAGTATTGAATAGATTTCTCAGTAAATTACTTGAGGACAGGAAGTGATTTACTCGTCTTTGTAATTCCCTGTGCGTAGGTTAGTGTGTGGGGCTTAGTACAATAGGAACCCCCTGTTTTCTCATGATCAACTTGTTTAAAGACCTGAGTATTTGTTCCATTGGATGTCACTGTAATATTTTTTGTTTTTCTTGTCCCCTGGAAATTGGAAATTAGTTATAAAAGCTCAATTAAATTAAGTAGTTTTGATAAGCATGCTTTCTCTGAAGTATTTTACATTGTTCCCTTTACTGTTTTGAGATGAAACTCATAGATAATAATATCTAACAAATCACATGATTTTTAAAGGCAATAGAGCAATTCTGTCTAACAATTCTATCTGCAGTAGTGCCCCACATCACTGTAGCAGCTTACGGTTCCACTATGGTAAAGACAGCACAGTGTTTGAGACAGCTGCAGATTACACACACTGATTCATTTTGTTTCCTGTTACCATTTTTGTCTCTTAGAGTAGCCTTCCCCTTCAAAACTATTAATTAAATTATAGTGCATTTTGAAGGTTATTCTGAAAAAAATTGTTTTATATTCCAATGCAATTAGATTTTTTCTTTTTTCTTTAATATTTATTTATTTATTTATTTGAAAGGCAAAATTACAGAGAAGCAGAGGCAGAGAGAGAGGTCTTCCATCCCCTAGTTCACTCCACAAATGGCCGCAACAGACACAGCTGGGCCAATCCAAAGCCAGGAGCCAGGAGCTTCTTCTGGGTCTCCCACGTGGGTGCAGGGGCCCAAGAACTTGGGCCATCTTCCATTACTTTCCAAGGCCATAGCAGAGAGCTGGATTGGAAAAGGAGCAGCTGGGTCTTGAACCGGTGCCCTTAGGGGATGTTGGCACTGCAAGCTGTGGCTTTACCCACTATACCACAGCGCTGGCCCCACAATTAGATTTTTCAAAGGCCTTAACTTTTTTTTTTTTTTTTTTTTTGACAGGCAGAGTGGACAGTGAGAGAGAGAGAGAGAGAGAGAGAAAGGTCTTCCTTTTTCTGTTGGTTCACCCCCACCAAGTGGCTGCTATGGCTTTTGCGTTGCAGATGGCATGCTGCTCCGATCCGAAGCCAGGAGCCAGGTGCTTCCTCCTGGTCTCCCATGCGGGTGCAGAGACTAAGCACCTGGGCCATCTTCCACTGCACTCCATGGCCACAGCAGAGAGCTGGACTGGAAGAGGAGCAACCGGGACAGAATCCGGCGCCCCAACTGGGACTAGAACCTGGTGTGCCGGCACCGCAGGCAGAGGATTAGCATAGTGAGCCGCAGCACTGGCCAAAGGCCCTAACTTAAACTTTAAAGGACTCCCTGCGTTAAAGGACTACTACTATGAACGTAATGTCTGATTAGGGACATTCCAAATGTGTTTTAAGCTTTAACTTATTTTTGAAGGAACTGACTTGTAGGTTCTCTTGAATTATGTAGCTATTGATAAGGTTGGATATGCTCTGTGACTTTTTTTTTTAAGATTTTATTTATTTATTTGAGATGTAGAGCTACAGACAAAGAGAAAGATCTTCCATCCGCTGGTTCAATCCCCAAATGGCCCCAGTGGCTGGAACTGAGCCAATTGAAGCTAGGAGCCAGGAACCTCTTCCAGGTCTCCCACACAAGTGCAGGGGAGCAAGCATTTGGGCCATCGTCTACTGCTTTCCCAGGCCATAGCAGAGAGCTGGATTGTAAGAGAGGCAGCTGGGACTAGAACCGGCAACCATATGGGATGCTGTCACTGCAGGCATGCCAGTGCTGCAGGAAGCTTGGCCCACTATGTCACAGCATAATGACTTTTTAAAGTCTCTGAAATGAGGCTGGTGCTGTGGCATAGCAGCTAAAGCTGCCACTTGTGGTGCCGGCATCCTATATGGGAGCCAACTCAAGTCCCGGCTGTTCCATTTTTGATCCACCTCCCTGCTAATGTGCCTGGGAAAGCAGTGGAGGATGGCCCAAGTGCTTGGGCCCCTGCACCCACATGGGAGACCTGGAGGAGCTCCTGGCTCAGACCAGCTCACCTCTGGCTGTTGTGGCCATTTGGGGAGTGAACCAGTGGATGAAAGATCTTTCTCTCTCTATCTCCCCCACTGCCCTGTAACTCTGCCTTTCAAATTAATAAAATAATTTTTAAAAAGTCTCTGAAAGATAAGATTCTTCTTCAGAAATTTACCTTCTTGCCATAATCAGAAGTCTGTAGTATCACTTCTGTTACCAGGAGATTTGCTATAATTTCCTTTTTTTAATAAGTAAGTTGAGTTCTTACCATACCTTGCATCTTTTATCTAATGTGTGTATATATATATATATATATGTTGTAAAATTTCAGAGGAAGTTAAAGGATTCTGCCTATTGCTATTACAGAAATTGGGCTTTCTTATTTTGCCTTCCTTGTGACATTTTTGTTCCTGGGCAACTTAGCACCTTGGTCTCAGTCTCCTGGTGCCTTTACCAGCAAGGCAGAAATGGTGGTTAAAATATTGCATCATTTGGGCCGGCGCCACAGCTCACTAGGCCAATCCTCCACCTTGTGGCGCTGGCACACCGGGTTCTAGTCCCGGTCGGGGCGCAGGATTCTGTCCCGGTTGCCCCTCTTCCAGGCCAGCTCTCTGCTGTGGCCCAGGAAGGCAGTGGAGGATGGCCCAAATGCTTGGGCCCTGCACCCCATGGGAGACCAGGATAAGTACCTGGCTCCTGCCATCAGATCAGCGCGGTGCGCTGGCCGCAGTGCGCCAACCGCAGCGGCCATTGGAGGGTGAACCAACGGCAAAGGAAGACCTTTCTCTCTGTCTCTCTCTCTCACTATCCACTCTGCCTGTCAAAAAAAAAAAAAAAAATATATATATATATTGCATAATTTGGGGCCAGCACCGTGGCATAGCAGGTAAAGCTGCCACCTGCGGTGCTGGCATCCCGTATGGGTGCGGGTTCAAGACCCAGCTGCTCCACTTCTGATCCAGCTTTCTGCTATGGCCTGGGAAAGCAGTAGAAGACAGCCCAAGTCCTTGGGCCCCTGTACCCATGTGGGAGACCCGGAAGAAGCTCCTGGCTCCTGGCTTCAGATCAGCACAGCTCCGGCTATTGTGGCCATCTGGGGAGTGAATCAGTGGATGGAAGAACTCTCTCTCTCAGCCTCTCCTCTCTCTATGGCACTCTTTCAAATAAACAAATAAATCTTTAAAAAAAATTGCATCATCTGGTTAAGAGGCAGATTGGCGAAGGACAACTGAAATATATGGTAATCATAAGGCAAAACTTAAACTTAAATAACTAACCCATGAACCTGTATACAAAAATGTTTCTTACATTATACAACATCAATATCTCCATGGTAACTATGAACCCACTTGGGAAGTTATAGTATAAACAAAGAGCTGCTTGGAAAGCTCAACTGTAGCCTTAATTGAAGGTAAGAAAATAGATAAATTATGTGTCATTTTCTGGATTTACTTTTTGTGACTCTGTTTTCATAGTAAAATATTTAATACAAAAAGAAGTATTTACAAATACCTATCAGTAATCTCACCAAACAACTATTAACTTTTCTTGATCACTTTGTGTGTATATCTGGATACATGATGTTATATTATAATATTTTATTATTTGCTTAATATTTAAGTACACATTTTTCATGTTATCCTTTTTATCATTTTCATTTTTATGACTACATAACATTTTGGATTGGCTACAATATTGTTATCCTTTTCAACTTTTATGATTTTTATAATGGTCAGTTTGCTTTGTAGTGGAATTCTTATCTTTGTGTATTATATATTATATATATATATATTTAAAGAAGCTTACTTTGATTCTTTTTTTTTCTTTGAAATTCTTCAGGACAATTACTCAAGGAAATGTGGATATTGGAGATTTGACCTGGGAGCAGAAGGAGAAAGTCTTGAGATTGCTGTTTGCAAAAATGAATGGTTTTGCTTCTAGGTAACTATATTTGCAATGAAACACCAAGTTGTTATCAAACCTAGAAACCACATAAGAACAATGAACTTATTCTTACTTAGGATTAAAGGAATGAGAAAAGACTAGGGGGGTCCTACTGCTTAGCTACTGCAAGTCCCCAAGATGAAGAATGGGAGATTGAATGAAGAGCCCAAAAATGAAAGAATTGGAATTACAGGGAGAACAGATTAATCTGAGATGCTTAAAGCACTAGCTTACTAAGAAGTTAACAACAGTCAGCTGAATGGCAACTGAACAGATGCATAATGATCGTTAAAATTTTTGTGGTTTGCAAAGATAAGTAAATGATTTTTCAACTGATTATTAATCGAGGATTTCTAATGCAAGAAAGATATATAGAAAGGAAAATAGAAACCCACAGATATTCTAAGTAATCCATTTTAATTATTAGTTTTACTCTCTTTCTCTGCTATATTTTATCAGTGACTATATCCCTGATATTGGGTAGTAAAATAGCTAGAATAAGTCAAGCACTCATTGATAGCTTATTACATGCTTGGCACTAAGGTAGGTGCTGTCAGGAATTTAAAAGAATGAGGAGACGTTGCCCTTTACCTCAGAGAACCTCCAATGTAGTTGCTTAAAGCCTAACAACAAGGGAATAAGTGAGTGGCACAAAAACAATGTATATTTTGGGTTTGGACTCTAATTGGCAAAGGCTGCCATAGTTGGAAAAGACATTTTGGAAAGATAACCAGGGGATGCTTTGTAGGATAGTGGAATAGCAGAGAGAGGACATTTCTGGCAAGAGGCCTAGTAGACCACATGACCAATAGCCCTGAGTTGGAATGATTGCAGAGTGTTTAGGGAAAATTTAAGAAAACTGCCTGGCTTCACGAAAGTTGGTGATAGTGGAGAGTGATTAGAAATAAAGTTTAAGCTATAAAATGAATCATGACGAGCCTTAAAAACTGAACAGCATGAACTTACTTTATTATAGATTCTAAAGAGTAGCATGTATCCTAGTTTTTGCCTCCGAGGAATACAAACAGAACTAAACCATACTCCCAGTTCTCACTGGTAGGGTTCATAGGTCAAGGTTAGTGTTCTCAGAGCTGACATTAAGCAAACACAGTGACAAGTGTGGTGACTGGAAGGACAAAAACAGCTTTGGGGAACAGCTGAGGCTGCTGCACTACTCTGAGCATGCAGTGGGGGGCGGTGTAGGCAAGAGTGGGAGTAGTCAGGAAAACAGGGAAGATGGGGAGGCACACTAGGGAGGAATCAGGATTTAGTGAAAAATAATAAAGGAAAGGAAGAGTAATTGTGAAAATCTCATAACAAATAAAATGAATGGTAGTACGAGAGAGAAATGAAAATCTGGAGAGCAAGTCTGAGGGAAGAATTTAAATTTCATTTAATCCTTTGATTCACTTAACATACGCATTGAGTGCCTACTGTTTATTTAGGATTTAGTGTTGAAGAAATAAAGACAGTTTGCCTAATCTCAAGGACTTTAATATCTAGATGGGAGAAAACATTCAAAACATTAAACAAATATATCTAAGTACAAGTGCAACTGTGACATAGTTTCAGTTTTTAGTTGTGTGAAAGCCTAGATGGAGGAATCTGACCTAATCAGGGAGATAGGTAGGCTTCTCAGGAAGTAGAAACTTTGAGCTGATTTCTAAAAGGTGAACAGGACCAAAAAGAGAAAAAATCTTTCTAGGAAGAAAATACTATGGTATTTTCAATGTTGAACTAGAGGTGATGGTGATACATTGAAGTGAAAATACCTGTAAGGCATTTGTAAATAGTGACTAGAGTTTAGGGGAGGAGATTTGAGCATATGTGGTAAAAATTGGGAGTTGAGTCTAGGAGAGTAGATGAAGGTGGAGGAGTAGAGAGCTGAGGTTGGAATAATCACAATTTGGGGACAGGAAAACTAATGAATACAAACAAAAGGGAAACGAATTGAAGGTAAATGAAAGGTGAGTACTTTGAAATGGCTGCTGTGTCACTGATGGCCATCCAAAGAGCTTTTAAAGAGGTAGAGATAGATACTGAATGTCTCAGTGTGGCTTGACTTTGTGTACTTCATGAAATACAGCCAGAGTTCTAGGTCTCTGGTTCCATAGTACCATGTTTTCAACATTTGAAAGAGCAAAGAAATTTGAATAAGATCATTTACATAAAAACAAAGAACTTGAACCTGATCATAGTGGAACAATGGCTAAGCCCGTTTAAATTTCATGCCAGATTTAGATAAAGAATAAATAAGATAGGAATAGAATGGTAAAGTATAGCAATCAGGAGGAGATTTCAGGAGATTTCAGGAGGAGATTAAACGAGAGAGAAAGCCCGGGGAGTGGATGCATAGCTTAGGGGTTAAGGTGCCTGTAGCCACACTGGAGTGCCTGGGTTCAGTCCCTAACTCTGGCTCCTGACTCCAGCTTCCTGCTAATGTGGACCTTGGGAGGCAGCAGGTGATGGCCCAGGTGATTGGGTTCCTAGCACCCATGTGGAAGGCCTCATCTATGTATTGATATCTCAGATTTTGTTCTGTTCCATCCCCTGTCATTGTGGGCATTTGGGGAGTAAGCCAGTTGTGGGAGCTCTGTTTGTCTCTCAAATAAATAAAAAGTAAAAAAAAAAAAAATTTCTGAATGAGAAAGCTCAAATAGTATTGGGCAGGAATCAGACAATACGAAAGTCTACCAAGGTAACTAGAGTAACTAGGAAGTTTGGAAGAGTTCATAGTTGAATGAAGGAGGGTACTTCAAAATGGAATTAAAGATGTTTGTTTTGGTGCAAAAAAAAGGTTAAAACCCAAGCAAATGTGGGAGCTTCAAAAAGGTCATGGATGGGGTCAGTGCTGTGGCATCAGGGCTAAACTTCTGCCTGCAGCACTAGAATCCTATATGGGTGCCAGTTCGTGTCCCAGCTGCTCCTCTGTGGATCCAGCTCTCTGCTAATGGCCTGGGAAAGCAGTGGAGGATGGCTCAAGTGCTTGGGTCCCTGCGTCCACGTGGGAGACCAGTAAGAGGCTGCCCTGGCTCCTGGCTTTGGATCAGCTCAGCTCTGGCTACTGTGGCCATTTGGGGAGTGGACCAGTAGATGGAAGACTTTTCTCTGTCTCTCCCTCTGTCTGTAACTCTACCTTTCAAATAAATAAATAAAATTAAAAAAAAAAAAAAAGATCATGGAGGGATAGACTTGCACAGTACAGCTTAAGCTGCTGCTTATGAAACACTTATTTTGGGATGCCGGTCTTTTGGCTCCTCTGCTTCCCATCCAGCTCCATGCTAGTGCTTCTGGGAAGCAGCACACGATGGCTCAAGTACTTGAATCCCCACTATCCACGTGAGACCTGGATGGAGCTCTGAGCTCCTGGCTTCTGCCTCACCTGGCCTTGGCTATTGCAGCCATTTGAGGAGTAAACCAGAGGATAAGTCCTCTGTCTCTCCTTCTTTGTCACTCTGCCTTTCAGATAAGTATGCTTTTTAAAAAGGGTCATGGAAAATGCATATTATGAAAAAATGACACATAGATTTCAAGGTGGTTTTTTTTTTGACATCAAAGTCAACATCTTTTAATTCCATTTTCCATGAAATTTTTTGAAGTACCCTTGTATATAATTGTGAATCCAATAGTACAGTATATTCCTTTGTAATTAAACTAAGTCAGAAGAATGTAACCAAGAAGTTGAACTCTCTGGCTACAACTCAGGCACTATTATTGCCCAAAGCCCATTTTTATCATGTGTCACTGTTAAGTTATTTAATATAGCCAGGTTGAATAGGTTTATGCTACTTTCAAAGGTAGAGAGGAAAAGTTTTAGGATGGCTAATTAACCTACTATACTTTTTATGATTCTATTAAACTCTCTCAAATTAGAATATTTCATTAGTGACAAGTTTATTTCTGTTCCTAAACTCAGACTTTACAAAGAATAAGGAGAAATTTCCTATGGAGACATGTCTCCATTGGGTAACCTTTATATGGTGTGAGGTGCTTTTTGTGGGAAGGGACTTTTCTGGATGTTTTTGGTCAGTCTCTAGAGCAACCTTTCCCTTCATCATTAATAGCTCTTGTGTATCACCATAATTGTCTCTGAAAAATTTCTATTTCTTCAGTTAAAAAAAATCTCAAATTTTAGACTATATTAATTAACTTGCTTAGCATTATACTACATCTCTGTGTGTAAGAGCTCATTTTTTAAAAAGATTTTATTGATTTATTTGAGAGGCAGAGTTAGAGAGAGAGAGAGGGACAGAGGGAAAGGTCTTCCATCTGCTGGTTCACTCCCCAAATGGCCACAGCAACCAGAGCTGGGCTGATCTGAAGCCAGGAGCCAGGAACTTCTTCCTGGTCTCCCACGCGGGTGCAGGGGCCTGAGAGCTTGGGCCATCTGCTGCTGCTTTCCCAGGCCATAGCAGAGAGCTGGATCAGAAGAGGCGCAGCCAGGACTAGAACCGGTGTCCATATGGGATGTTGGTGCTGCAGGCAGAGAATTAACCTGTTGTGCCACAGCACCAGCCCCGTCAGAGCTCATTTTGAAAATGAGAAGCCCAGGGCTGGTGCCGTGGCACCGTGGGCTAAAGCCCTGGGCTGAAGTGCCGGCATCCCATGTGGGTGCCGATTCGAGTCCTGGCTGCTCCTCTTCCGATCCAGCTCTCTGCTGTGGCCTGGGATGGCAGCAGAGGATGGCCTGGGTACTTGGGCCCCTGCACTCACGTGGGAGACCCGGAAGAAGCTCCTGGCTTCGAATTGGCACAGCTCCGGCTGTTGTGGCCGTCTGGGGAGTGAACCGGCAGATGGAGGACCTATCTCTCTGTCTCTACCTCTCTCTGTAACTCTTTCAAATAAATAAAAAAAAAATCTTAAAAAGAAAAAAGAAAAGAAGAAGCCCATCCAACTGAAGCATTTCACTTAGAACATTTAAAATTATAGCTGAGGGGCAGGGGTTCTGGCACAGTGAGTTAAGCTGCTGCTTGGGATGTCTGCATCTCATATGTAATGTTGGGATCAAGTCCCACCTGTATTTTGAATCCAGCTTTCCACTAACATACCAGAGGCGGTACATGATGGTTCAAGTACCTGGGCCCCTGCCACCCATGTGGGAGTAGAGTTCCTGGCTCCTGGCTTTGGCTGCCCAGCCCTGTCTTTTGGACATTCAGGGAGTAAACCAGCAGATGGAATATTTTCTGTCACTCTGCCTTTTAAATAAATAAGTGTTTAAAAATCGTAGTTGAGTGGCGCCGCCGTAGCTCAATAGGCTAATCCTCCGCCTGCGGTGCCAGCACACCGGGTTCTAGTCCCAGTTGGGGTGCCAGATTCTGTCCTGGTTGCTCCTCTTCCAGTCCAGCTCTCTGCTGTGGCCCAGGAAGGCAGTGGAGGATGGCCCAAGTGCTTGGGCCCTGCACCTGCATGGGAGACCAGGAGAAGCACCTGGCTCCTGGCTTCGGATCAGCACGGTGCGCTGGCCACAGCACGCCAGCTGCAGCGGCCATTGGGGGGTGAACCAACGGAAGACCTTTCTGTCTCTCTCTCACTGTCCACTCTGCCTGTCAAATAAATAAATAAATAAATAAAAAATTGTAGTTGAGGGCTGGGCATTTAGTAGCGTGGTGAAGACCCTGTTCGGGGCGCTCATGTTCTGTACTGCAGTGCTGGGATCTGGTCCCTGCTCTGTTCCCAATTCCAGCTTTCTGCTGATGCACACCGGAGGAGGCAGAGGTGATGGCTCAAGTAGTTGGGTTCCTGTCACCACATGGGAGAGACCTAGATTGAGTTCTGGGCTCCTGACTTCGGCCTGGCCTGGCCTGGGCAGTTGTGGGCATTTGGGGAATGACCCAGTAGATGGGAGATCTCTGTCTTTCTCTTTCTGCCTCTGTCCTCTGCCTTTCAAATAAGTATTTTTAAAATTTTAAAAATTATTGTAAGGTGAAATATGAGGGCATGAGGGGAGATGACCTCATTATGTTTGTTGACTTTTACCCAACACAGGAAATACAGCCAGAGTTCCAGGCCTCCAGTTCCAGAGTATGTTGTTTCTGACGGTGAAGAAACAAAGGAATTTGGGTAAGAGCTCTCCTGCCACAGTAACGAGCATGGTCCTGATCTCTGGGGTTCTGGTGGGCATTACATGTGCTAGCGTTGAGGGAGAGTAAACTGTTGTTCTTAACCAAGTTCTGTGTGTACTTGGTTGTTGACAAATCTGTTTTTTTATTATTACCGCAGGGATGAAAGTAAACTTCAGGATCAAACCTTCATCACCCAGCAAGTTCCAGTATCCGACTCTTCTAGTGAAATGGTGCTACCCAGTATTCCAAAAGGATCAGAAGACTCCAACACAGTAAGGACTCTGTAATCTAACCAAATGATACATGTAACTGTTCACTGTTCCCCTGTAACTTCTTGCTAACTCACAGTTCTTTTTCTACTAGCCAGGAGCTCTCAGGGATCTGGAATAAGTAAAAAATAGCATTGCGATGAATGCATGGAATCTTACAACAGTGCCTACACTCAAGGCATATGGTATACATAATGCAAATGCATATATATGCCTCTTTTACTATGAAAAGCATGTAGGTTGCCTTTTGAAATAAGCAGCCTAGTCAAAATGTGTATTATCTTTTATGAAAGAATAAACATAATGATCTTGTGACTCTTGGTTTTGGACCTAGGCAGGAAGTCTAAGTCATTCCAACCTGAGAGACCCCGGGCATCACAAGGAAGTATGGTGTCATTAACAGAAAGCCATATTTTCTCTGTTGAATGGCTTTTTATTTATAACTTGCTATTCATAATCAGCATTATGTAAAATCTGAGACATTTCAAATGAGGCGACATCAGACTTAAAAAAACACTCAAAAAATTTTAAGGTGTTACTAACATGAACATAACTACAGATTTTTTTTCCCATCTATGAAACTATTCTGAGCAGCAAAAGAGTTTCAGTTTCAAGTTAGCTGGTCAAATGAGTTTATTCCAACTAGTGCAATAGAGTTCTGGTTAGTTAGTATTTTTTAAAGTGACTTCCCTGAAATGTAAGGAAAATGTTAGGAGTTTCATTCCACTTGAATTTAGTTTCATTCCACTTGAATTTAGACAATAATAACCTTTATTCAATCCGGCCTAGAGTTGGTGTATTGGATTAAATAGCACTTTTGCCAGCAGTGATAAGAGTTAAAACAAAGGTCACTGTATTCCCAAATTATAGATTTCATCTTTAGGAAGGTCAAAAAGAAGAAGAAGAGGACCCAGAAGGTCATCAGTCAGTGTATTTTATTAAAGTTGTAGTCACCTTAAGTGATTGACGATTCTGACATTCTGTCCAGCAGGTGGTAGTAAATAAGCCTCAAGCACATAGAGTGCAAAGTGTTTTCAAGGTTTTCTACTATCCTTAATTCACTCAATAACCCCCATGGGGCAGGTCAGCACTATCCAAGAAACTAATGAAGAGGCAGAAAAATAAATGACCTATGCCACTTGGCAAAGAACCAGAAATTACAACATCAGAGGCAATAACCTTCTTCTAGTTCAGAAAGCCAGTATTCATTTGGGGTGGTAGATCAAAAAGAATCCATTCTGTTCAGCACATCTGTTACTGTTCTGACTTAAAAAAAGCTTAAAGGCAGTTGAATTCGTGGTAGCAGAACACTGTCAGAGCATTTCTTTTCTTTTTGTAATGAACAGCTTTGAAATTTCTTAGGCCCTAAATAATTACTCTACATGAAGAATTCTTTCATTAAAAGTGTCCCTAATAGAAATACAGGAAAAGGAAAGAACATACAAAATTTGGCAAGTAATAGATTAAACTTGCTTAAGGCAGGAGTCTTAATCCACTTCCATGATTGGAACACTTCTTGATTTCTGGGTATAAAATAACTTGAAATAATCCTCAAACTGTTTGTGTCTGAGTTAACAGCTGAAGCATTAATTAGTGATTGCTGAAGCAGGCACTGAACCTTGGCACACTTCACAAGAAGTTGACTTATCCATTAAGTCCTGAGGTATCCTTGAGAAAGAACTTCTAAGAAGCAGGAGCAGTGACAATGACAGCATTAAATAATGGTCTTGAATCACAAGGACAACAAAAAAGCATTGAGCAGAAAAGAAAGAAGTAGTTGTCACAATGTTGGGACGTGTAGAAATGGGTTATATCCTGTGTGGTGTTAGCTGGAAGTGAAATTCAGGAAAACCTGGAGAGGCGTCTTCCCCACTGGCATTTATGTAGGGCTGTGTTTGAGGCTTAACCCCAGGGTGAATTATTTCTATCCTAATTCTTAATATCCAAATTCCTAATCCAAGAGTTCTTCCAATTATTGGACGGTCTTCTGTATGTAAACTCCTTCAAGTCATCAGAAAAGGGGAGCATTTTTAGAAAACAGGTCTAAGCTCTCATTCCAGATAAACATTTCACAATTAAAACAGTTACTTCAAAAATAGAAGGATGAAGAGCAAGTGAAACTCTAGTTTCAGTGTTATATTAGGAGTCTCCCTAGAGCAACTGTGACAGGGGCTAACAGTCCTGGGAAAGAACTCAATTACAATGGATGCCAACACCAAGGATCTGCTCTGAGCAGGGTTGGCAAATGAAGTAGGTCAAGAATAAAGGGAGATTACTCGGGGTGGACTGTCTTGAACAACTTGTTTCTAGCGGCCCATGGTAGGCATGACTACAGCAGGTGTTGAGAGAGTAGCATCCTCTTCTTTCCACTGAGAAGTGATAGTCTTTAACTGAGTGTAGAACTGGAAGCCCTAAAGAGAACAAAGGAAAAACAAAGAGTTAGCATGTGTTTCTGGGTTTCATGATTCTTCTTTCAATTAGCTTTAGAAGGCAGTGCTTTGAGTGCTACTCGTGTTCCTGTTTGAGGAATAGCTGTAACCAAGCAAAATCCAGTGTGTTGTTTTTGAGATAATCTACTTAAAAACATTTTCCATGTGTGTATACACACACACACACACACACATACCTGGCAGGCACACAGTAAACAGTCAAACCTTAGCTCTCATTATTATGCTAAAATTAGGATTTCTAAGCCAAGAGGGTCTAAACAGAAAAACTGAACAATGTAGCCTGTTCACGTGCAGGTCATTCTCGACCTAAAGCTGAGTGTCATGTGCCCTGAAATCAATACACCTGGCTCAAATCCACCTCTGCTCCTACTGGAGACACATCTGTGTGACATTAACAGCCACCTCAGAGCAAGTTGTGAGGAGAAAATGAGACGACAAAGCAACATATTGTAGCGAAGTACCTGCTGCTCAGCAACTATTAGTTTTCTCCTTCCCATGACGAAGAAAAGGAATGAGGCAGCGAAATATTCCTGGTAACTGTTAGTGATGAGACAATCTAAAGTAAAACTGTCTGACATTGTACACATTCACTTCTGAGGTGTCTGTAAGATGTGGGCAAAATTTCAGCATGTTTTAGGCTCCCTCTGGCTTGCTCTCTCAGAGGGAGAGAGAGAGAGAGAGAGTCTTCAGCAAAAGAGAATTCATTGTACAGATCTAACACAATAAAATTACTAGCATTCCAGAAAGATATTTTTAGTAAAAGTATTAATCTTGTTAAAATGCTCTTCTAGAATTATTTGACAAAATTGGGTCATTTTAATGCATCAAGAACAATTTTAGGGATTATACTTTCAACATAAAGATACAGCCTTTACATTTTATTATGTAAGAATGATACTTTTGGGGCTGCTGTGGCGTAGTGGGCTAAGCCTCTGCCTGCAGTGCCGGCATTCTATTTGGGTGCCTGTTCAAGTCCCAGCTGTTCCTCTTCCCATCCCACTCTCTGCTATGGCCTGGGAAAGCAGTAAATGATGGCCCAAGTACCTGGGCCCCTGCACCCACATGGGAGACCAGGAAGAAGCTCCTGGTTCCTGGCTTTGGATAGGCCCAGATCCAGCCTTTGCAGCCATTTGGGGAGTGAACCAGCAGGTAAAATCCTTTCTTTCTTTGTTTCTCTGTGGTTCTACCTTTCTTTGTAATTCTTTCAAATAAATAAGTCTTTAAAAAATGATATTTTCATGTGTTCTTTCCAGAATGCAAAGTAGCAATTTACTAATCTAAGAATTTGGGGCCAGTGTTCTGGAACAGTGGATTAGGCCATGACCTGCAGCACTGGCATCCCATATGGGTGCTGGTTTGAGTCCCTGCTGCTCCTCTGCCAATCCAGCTCCGTGCTAATGCACCTAGGAAGGCAGCAAAGGATGACCCAAGTGCTTGGACCCCTGCACCCACAAGGGAGACGCGGAAGAAGCTCCTGGCTCCTGGCTCCTGGCTTTTTCCTGGCCCAATCCCAGTCATTACAGCCATTTGGAGAGTTGAACCAGCAGTGGATGGAAGATCTCTGTCTCTCCTTCTCTCTCTCTCTCTGTAACTCTGCTTTCAGCTAAATAATACATCTTTAAAAAAATCTAAGAATTTAAGACTTCAAACTGTGTATGAGATCAATAATTTCCTCCCATAAACCTCACTTACCCAGATAATTTATACTAATTAAACCAAATGTGGAGTGGGGTGGGAGAATGGGACACTATTTAAAACAATTGCTCTCCTGGCTCCTGGCTTCCGATCGGTGCAGCTCTGGCCATTGCAGCCAACTGGGGGGGTAAACCATAGGATAGAAGACTTCTCTCTCTCTCTCTCTCTGTAAGTCTTTCAAATAGACAAATAAATCTTTCAAAAAATAAAAAATAAAACAATTGCTACTCTTAAATACTCATTGCCTGTATTAAACTACAGCTGATCCCTGACATATGATGGTTCAAATTATGATTTTTCAATTTGAAGATGGTGTGAAAGGCCAGCATTGTGGCACAGTGGGTTAAGCTGTTGCCTGCAATGGCAGCATTCTATATCTGGGTACTGATTTGAGTCCTGGCTGCTTTGCTTGAGATACAGCTCCCTGCTAGTGCACCTGGAAGGCAGTGAAAGATGGCCCAAGTGCTTGGGCCCCTGCCACCCATATGGGAGACCCAGATGAAGTGGGTCCCAGCCGTTGCAGCCATTTGGGGAGTGAACCAACAGATGGGAGACCTCTTTCTCTGTCTCCGCACTTCACCCTGCCTTTAATAAATAAAATGAATCTTACAAAATAAAAATAAATATTGTACATTAGCCATGCACCTCCCTAGAAACCATACTTCAAGGTTTGGGTTTTGATCTTTCCACAGGCTGGTGATGTTTGGGATGATATTCTCATGAGATGCTAGGCAGGGGGCAGCAAAAGCAGCTCCTGGTCAGCCTTGCCATCACCGGGGGAAAGCTGAGCTGGGATGTTCAGTAGGCCAGCTGTAGCAAATGCCTTTTTTAAAAGAGTTATTTATTTGAAAGGCAGAGTGACAGAGGGAAGAGGTAGAGACAGAGACACAGCTCTTCCATCCACTGGTTCACTCCCAAAATGCTCACAACAGCCAGGGTTAGACCAGACTGAAGCCGGGATCCAGGAACTCCATCCCAGTCTCCCAAGGGGGTGGCAGGAACTCAGGTACTGCACCGTTGTCTGCTGCTCCCAGGTGCATTAGCAGGAAGCTGGATTTGGAAACACAGAGTAACCGGGATTCAAACCAGGGACTCTGACGTGGGCTGTCAGCATCCCAGGTGGCAGCTTAGCCATTTTTGATTCCTGATATTTTCAATTTATGATGGATTTATTGGGATATAAACCACCCCCAAGTCAAGGAGCATCTGTAGTCAATTTTGCAAAAGCTGTGACTAATGTACAACCTGGATAATCAGTCTCTAAATAACCAGTGTTGACTTAACTAGGTAACCACCCTGTTACATCTACTATGCATAATAATTTTTTATAAACCTATAAAAGGGAAGACTGGTATCAAAATATGTAATTTATTAATGAGGACTTCAAAGTGGTTATATTTCTGTGGTACTACAAAGAACTTCCACTAACCAACGTTTGGGAAGCCTGCTCTGTACCTGGCACGCAGACAGGAACATAGTAATTGCAGTGTGGTGAGGTCTTCTCACCAAGACTTAAAGAGCTCAGCGTGTCTGACCCCTGCCTGTTTCTCTAATATCATCTCTTCCTACTCTCCTCACTTACTCATTGTGCTCAGCCCATTCCTGCTGTGTGAACACACCAGGCCTCTTCCTGCCTCAGGACATATGTACTTGCTGATAGTTAACAGTGATAATTCAGTCCTCATAACCTTACAAAATCTGTAGATACTTTTATTATATTTTCCCTCTACAGATGAAGAAACTTGAGGCATAAAGAAGTTATGCACTGACATCATACAGCCAATAACTGGCTGAGCTACATTTTTTTTTTAATATTTACTTATTTATTTGAAAGGCAGAGTTAGAGAGAGAGAGAGAGAGATCCTCCATCTGCTGGGCCACCCCCCAAATGGCCTCAATGGCCAGAGCTGGGCAACACTGGGCCATTGCTAAGCCAGGAACAGAAATTTCTTCCAGGTCTCCTACATGGATGCAGGGGCCCAAGCACTTTGCCCATCCGCTGCTGCTTTCCCAGGCCATTAGCAGGGAGCTGGATTGGAAGTGGAGCAGCCAGGACTGGAACCAGTGCTGGGGCACAGGTGGGGGCTTTACCTACTCCGCCAAAGTGCTGGCCCCTGAGATGCAATCTGAACCCAGGCAATCTGGTTCCAGAACTGCTTCATTTTTCTTGTTCAGTGTTGTATTCAGTTCATGGAGTATTTGGTACAAAGGTGTCAGTCCAGTGTTTTGTAAAGGAGAAACTATGACAGGAGAAGTGGGTGCAGTGGGGCACAGGGGCGACCCACTCACCTTGAGCAGGAGAAGGGGGCTGGTTAAAGGCGATTTCTCCAGGTGTGCATTTAAACTGAGGCGTGACAGATGATCAGGAGTAGTTAGATGGCAGGGGAGGACAGGGGAGGACCACAGGCAGAGGAAATGGCATATACACAGTCTTGCACGTCCCAAAACTTTGTGCCTTAAGTTATTCAGGAAGCAGCAACTTCGGCAAATGTTCATGACCGTTTGTATTTTTTCTAGGGAACCTTCTGATTCACACTGGTGAACAACAAACGCCCCACAGAAGCTGCTGGCAGAATCCTCCCTCCTGAGATGTTCAAGACAGTTTTTTAAAGGAAAAAAATATTTTATTCAAAAGTTACCTGTTTGCCATAGAAATTGGTGTCTCCCCTGAAGGAAGAGCGAGAGCCGGTGAACGAGAACATTGGCAAAGGCACTGGAATGGGCACGTTCACCCCCACCTGAGGCGGAAAACAAAACATAACAGACACTGAGCAGAGAACTCAAGCAGAGGCTCTCCCTCCGCTTAGCAGCACAGAGGTTGCAGAGAGACCAGTTTCAAATGCCCAACTTCCGCCCGCGAACCTCGTGTGTCTTAGCAAGAAATGAGGCACTGTGGGAGAGTAGAGGGACGGGCTTTCAATAAGGCTGCATCACTGATCACTGTTTACTGTCTCCTCTTGGGCTCTAGGCTATCATCTCCTACAAATTCTGCTCACAAACCTGTCCAACGTCCACCAGGTGGGAGTATTTCCGAGCGGTGGCTCCATTGGTAGTGAAGATGGCAGTCCCATTTCCATATGGGTTGTCATTGACGATCTTGATGGCTTCATCCAATGTTTCTGTCTCCAGAACCACAAGAACTGGACCAAAAATCTCTTCTTTGTAACAGGTCATATTTGGCTGCCAGGAGTGACGCACCCAGAAAAGAAGTCAGCTTTTTGTATTTTGAGTATTTTATGTTTATTTGGCACCTTCACTAAGCTTCCATATCAGTGACCTCTTTTCATTTTAAATCACCTATTTTAAAAAGTCCTCTCTTACAGTATTCCACCTTCTAAGCAATCAATTATACAAACAACCTAAAATTCTTAACAAGATAACCATAACAAAACAACCCCATATTTTTCATGCCCATGACCCACCACTGGCTTCCTAATAACTGTACAACTAGTTTCATATAATAGTTATGCTTTCAAAAAAATTACACAAAAATTCATTTTTATAAGCATGTATTAAATACACCAGGAGCATGTTTATGCTCATAGAAACCCTGTGTTAAGGTCTCTCTAAGAATGGCAATCAGTTCTCATTCACTCCTTGGCCTCCTACAAGTCTGTGCATTCACATTTTGTTAGTGTTACTGGTTACACTTAACCATTCAAAGCCTTCAGCCCTGCACCCTGTCAGCTGTGTTTGTTGTTGATAAGTGCGTTCCTCTAGAGTTCTGTGGCAAAAGAGCTCATAATTTCTACTCACAGTCAACTGTTGATTATTTAGGATTACTGTGAGGATTTGCAAATTTCAGAACAGCCTCCTATCCTCATATTTAGTCCTATTAGATGAAAGACTTTCAGTCTTTTCTTTCTTTCTTTCTTTCTTTTTTTTTTTTTTTTTTTGACAGGCAGAGTGGACAATGAGAGAGAGAGACAGAGAGAAAGGTCTTCCTTTGCCGTTGGTTCACCCTCTAATGGCCGCCGTGGCCAGCGCACCATGCTGATCTGATGGCAGGAGCCAGGTACTTCTCCTGGTCTCCCATGGGGTGCAGGGCCCAAGCACTTGGGCCATCCTCCACTGCACTCCTGGGCCACAGCAGAGAGCTGACCTGGAAGAGGGGCAACCGGGACTAGAACCTGGTGTGCTGGCGCCGCAAGGCAGAGGATTAGCCTAGTGAGCCGCGGCGCCGGCCTTTCAGTCTTAATAAATAAAAACTGACCCATCAATTCTTTTTCCTTTTTTCACCTTCTGGTGACACACTGCTAAATTTTGGGCACAGAGTAAATATGCATCAGTTGTTGATAAATTGATTGAGACACTGCAGTAGCTTTGAGCCAGGAGCGAAAAGGAGAGGTAGAGGAAAATTCACATTAAATAAATAACACAGTAGAATGTAAGACAGGGGCTGGCAGATTATATAGCCTTTGGGCCAAATGTGGTTGCTGCCTGTTTTTGTGCAGCCCACAAACTAAGGATAGTTTCTGCATTTTTTCTTTTTTCATTGCATTTCTGCATTTTTAAATGGTTGAAAAAAAATTTAAATTCCATGAGCTGAAATTATCTGAAATTGAAATTTCAGTGTCCTTAAATAAAGTGTTAGTAGAACACAGCCACACAGTTGTTTTTTAAATTTTTTTAAAAAAGATTTATTTATTTGAAAGGCAGAGGCAGAGAGAGAGATAGAGAGATGTCTTCCATCTGCTGGTTCACTCCCCAGCTGCAACAGCCAGAGCTGTGCCGATCCAAAGTCAAGAGCTAGGAGCTTCTTCCAAGTCTCCTCCACGGGTGCAGGGGCCATCTTCTACTGCTTTCCCAGGCCATAGCAGAGAGCTGGATTGGAAGTGGAGCAGCCAGGACTTGAACCAGCACCCATATGGGATGCTGGCACTGCAGGCAGCGGCCTTATCTGCTATGCCACAGCACCAGCCCTACCACACAGTTTTCATGGCTGATTTTATACTACTGTGTCAGAGCTGACAGTTGCTGTGACAAAGACTATATCTCTGCAAAGCAGAAAATATCCAGCCCTTTATGAAAACTGTGCTGCTAGTATAGTAGAAAGGACTAGTTTAATAAAATAACTGGGGGTTGGTGCTGTGGCATACTAGGTTAGTTCTCCACCTGCAGTGCCAGCATCCCATATGGGTGCTGGATTGAGTCCCAGCTGCTCCTCTTCTGATCAGCTCTCTGCTAATGGCCCAGGAAGACAGTGGAAGATGGCCTAAGTGCTTGGGCCTCTGTACCCACATGGGAGACCTGGAAGAGGCACCTGGATCTTGGCTTCAGATTGGCCCAGCTCTGGCCATCTGGGGAGTGAACCAGCAGATGGAAGATTTCCTTCTCTGTCTTTCCCTCTCTCTGTAACTCTGCCTCTCAAATAAATTAATGAATCTTTAAAAAATAAATAAAATTACTATGCAGTCCTGGCAAGAGATAAGGTATTAACTCATTAAATACCTTCATTTATAAATTAGAGGAATGAGATTGCATAGCCTCTAAGATGCCTTCGGCTCTCATATTTATGAGATAATCAAAAGCTGTTCACCTTTACATTTGAGATGATGGTTGGTCCAACAAAGTTACCATTTTCATAGCCTTTCACTTTAATTTTCCGCCCATCAAGAAGGATAGACGCTCCCTCCTTTGGTCCACTATCAATCAGGTTACAGACTCGCTCTTTGGCCTGGGGAGTGATCAGAGGGCCAAGGTCAGCTCCAGGCTGGTCTCCTGTAAAACAATGTAAAAATATGTAAGGTCTTCATTAACTTGAATATGACTGCTAACAAGAGACATATCCAAATGACAACTATACTATAAACAGAATCAATGGTAGGAATAGACATTGCTCCCAAGAGTCAAGGCCAATGCTAAATCCAAGGGTCTAGTGCCACAAATGAAACAGCTTAAGGAGGCAGGCAGATAACTGGTCACCTGCATTGACTCTCAAGTTCTTGGCACGCTCCACCAGCTCTGGCAGCCACTTCTTAGCTTCTCCCACAAGGATTGCTGTTGACAGAGCCATGCAGCGCTGGCCAGCAGCTCCAAATGCTGCTCCAACCAGTTGGTTCAAGGTATTCTCCTTATTGGCATCTGGCATGACCACCCCATGGTTTTTGGCTCCCTAAAAAAATACAGAAAGTACATCAGTCTCCTTTTAGCCAAATATAGTAAATAAACTAACAAGGAATCTGAAATTTCACATGAGAACTCAAAAGAAAAAAACCTCGAGAATTCATCCTTAGGATCCTTCATGTTACTTCTTCGTTTTCCAGCTGATAAGCTGATAAGTGTTTATTTAGGTCAAAACCATTACCAAGACAAAAAAAAAAAACACCAGCTGCAAAAATGAAACAAAAACTACCCCAGCCCCATTTACATTCACACTGACAAGTAAAACACTGCATCCACACCAGGGAAAGCCCCTTCCCTTTCCTAAGGTCGACAGGAAAGAATTTACTGTCTGTTGGGGTCTCCAGTTAAAGAGCATGTAAACATAGTTGCCAGTATGAATGCCAGTAATCACCTGAGAGGTGAAATAAGTAGACCCCTGATGCATATTTTTAGAAAAGGTCCCTGAATTGACTTGTTTCATATACTTCTTTATTATGTAGAATAATATAATCATTTACCTATTTACATTTCAAGATAAAACACAGTTGAGGGCATGGATACATACCCATGTCTGGTACTTAATTTAATTCCATTACATGTAATTTTGAACACATAATACACTCAATAGGTATGGAGTGAACTAGAAGGAACTTAAGTCAAACTGACCAAAAATCACTCCGCCCCAAAACTAAGTGGGTATATGCATGCCAGTGCAGAGACGGCTATCTTTTGTACAACATTAGCTTAAGAAGGATGAGAAACAGAATTTAATGCTTAGTATCAAAGATTTGCTAAGAATTGGCAAGGAACTAGCAAGAGAACAGCAAAACTATGCAATCAAGTAAACCAAACAAACTGGTTCTCTCCAGTGCCTTAAGTACACTGGAAACTTAGATCCGATCTTATCTTTGAGACTAGTAGTTAGGACATGCCTTAATAGGAAGGAAGGACTAAAAGCATGGTATAAATAAGAAACCAGAAGCCAGAACCAGAATCTGACTGTTACTGTGGAAGCCCAAAGCATGTGAATAACATTAGGGAGGATTGTGCTCTTTGTCATCTAGATTACTCGTGTAGAAGAGGTGATTATCTTGACTTGGAAGTAAATGCCTGGGGCCAGTGCTGTGGCATAGTAGGTTAAGCCTCTGCCTGCAGTGCTGACATCCCGTTCAGGCACCAGTTCCAGTCCCAGCTGCTCCATTTCCAATCCAGCTCCCTGCTAATGGCCTAGGAAAGCAGTGGAAAATGGCCCAAGCGCTTGGGCTGCTGCATTCTCATGGTAGACTGGGAAGAAGCTCCTGGCCCCTGGCTTTGGATCACCCCAGCTCTGGCCATTGTGGCCATCTGGGGAGTGAACCAGAGGACTAAAGATCTCTCTGTCTCTCCCTCTCTCTGTAACTCTGCCTCTCAAATAAATAAATAAATCTTAAAAAAAAAAATGCCTTACAAGGTAATGGTTAAAGAAAAGACATTCAGGATGAAGTGGTTAGCAAACACTGATACACTGGGATGAGCAGCCCTTTGGCTTAGCTG